TTGGCGTCCTGCTTAGTTTTTTTTGGAGCAAGTCCATTAACAAGTACTATAAGCCCTAAATGGACCAAACTTGCATGGATTATGCATCTACAGATGGTCAGTATTGGATTTGCTTCTGCTGCTGAATCTGACCTACATTTTTAGGATGAGTGACAGGTTAAAGTTTTGGGAGTAAGCTCATTCCTAACTAACTAAGCCCTAATAAACCAAACTTTCACGGATGATGCATCTAGGGATGGATGTAACTATACTTGCATCCGATGCAGGATGTGACCTATATTTTCCGGATGAGTGAACATTTTAAGATTTTGGTGCCGGTCCATTCCCAAGTAACTGAGTTTACCTAGACCAAACTTGCATGAATGATGAACCTAGTGATGGTCAGTATTACAGTTGCTTCTGATGCTGGATCTGACCTACATTTTCTAGATGAGTGACCAGGTTAAAGTTTTTGGAGCAGATCAATTCCCCTAAGTAACTATAAGCCCTACCTAGACCAAACTTGTTTGTATGATGCATCCAGGTATTTACACTGCCCAGCTTGCTTTGGATTTGGATGTGTGAACAGATTAATGTCTTTGTAGCAAGGTCATCCTCAAGTTAATGTAAGTCTTACCTATACAAAACTTTCAGGGGTGATGTGTCTAGGGATGTACACTACTCGACCTGCTATAGATGCTGGATCTGATCTACATTTTCCAGATGAGTGACTGTTAGCCCTCCTTTGACCAAACTAGCTGGAAACCATTTTTTGCAATGAATAGATTTCTGACATTGACTTCTGACCCCAAAATTTATAGGGGTCTTTTTAAATCACGGAGGCTTAATATAAAATTTCATTGAAAAGACTCAAAGCAAAGGAAAGTTATCATCTGGAAACTATTTCTTTGCAATATATTAATTTCTTACCTTGACATTTGACCTTTTGACCTCAAAACCTACAGGATGCTTTTTTTAAGCCATAAAGAGTTAAGATATAAAATTTAATTGCAAAAGCTCAAAGACTTTTTAGCTCACCTGAGCTGAGGGCTCAAGTGAGCTTTTCTGATCGAAATTTGTCCATTGTCTGTCATTGTTTGTGTCATCGTCGGCATTGTTGTCATTGTAAACTTTTCACAATTTCATCTTCTTCTCCAGATCTACTGGGCCAATTTCAATCAAACTTGGCACAAAGTATCCTTAGGTAAAGGGGATTCAAGTTTGTTCAAATGAAGGGCCACGCCCTCTTCCAAGGGGAGATAATAACAAATTAGTGAAAAATTAATGGCATCATTCAAAAATCTTCTTCTCAGGAACCACTGGGCCAGGAAAGATGAAAATCATGTGGAATCATCCTCAGGTAATGTAGATCTTCTCCTGAAGAAACACAGGACCAGGAAAGATGAAACTCAAAGAATTATCCTCAGTTAATGTAGATTCAAGTTTGTTCAAATCATGACCCCCCCCCCCCCCCAGGGGTAGGATGGGGCCACAATGGAGGATCAAAGTTTTGCATAGGAATATATAGCAAAAATCTTTAAAAATATTCTCCTCAAGAAAAACAAAGCCATGATTGGTAATATTTATATGGAAGCATATCCTCAGGTGGTGCAGATTCAAGTTTGTTCAAATCATGACCCCCTGGGGTAGGGTGGGCCACAATAGACGATCAAAGTTTTACATAGGGATATATAGGAAAAATCTTCTCAAGAACAGCAAATCCATGATTGGTTATTAACTATTCTGAAGTATCCTAAGGTAGTGTAGATTCATGTTTGATAAAAATCATGACCCCCAGCTGGGGATAGGGTGGGGCCACAAGAACAGCAAAGCTATGATTGGTCATATTTATATGGAAGCATCCTCAGATGGTGTAGATTCAGATTTGTTCAAATCCTGACCCCCAGGGGTAGGGTGTGACCATAATGTTCAAACTTGTGGGAAAAAAGTTACAGTTAGTCAAAGAAATATGTAAGCATCTTTAGTTGGTTTAGATTCAATTTTGTTAAAATCATACCCCCCCCCCCCCTTTTACGGGTAAGTCGGAACACTTATGTATTTAAATCTTTTCAATACTGAACTGATTTTTGCTTTTTTCCTAGCCACAGTACTCAGGTGAGCGATGTGGCCCATGGGCCTCTTGTTGAGATATCGTCCGGAAACGAAAGTGTTACACACAAACAGAATGACGGACAGGCGGACGGACAGGTCCAAATTAATATCCCCAGTTTCAGTAAAATTGTACTTTACTACATGTCCATTTTGATATGAGATTGTCGATTCATATTTGATGATCAAGTTTACAATTGTGCCGACCCAATGAAAGAAATCAATAATCGAAGAGACTTTAAATCTGCGAAACGTATTAGTAACAAACAAGTGTTTCATGTACTATGTAAGGTTCTGAAATTCAGCAGTTAAATAATTGAAAATGGTCCAAAAAATTTCTCTGAATTCACAAAGTAATGTGTATTACCCATGGTATTTCTTCAAAGTTCATTGTATTATAGTTAATCATATTATTTGGGGAAATTTATCAAGTCTCAAATATATTTTCAGGAAACAATAAAATTATGAATATAACGAATAAAAGCACCAGCTATGCATTTTCTAATTGAAAATTGATCAACAAATATATTTTAGGATTAAAAAAAAACTATATGTGTCTAGGCATTCAGAGAAAGTTGTATGTTTTTTTATACGGTATTTGAGTTCTTCTGTTTACTTCAATTGTTATACACAGTGTGAAAAGCTTGTGCTATCATTTGCAAGACATCACAGGGCACTTCTCATTTCTTATCATGCTAATAACATTGGTGTACAGATTAGATTGAAAGAAATTCGATTTAATTCCTTACAAATGCATTTATTTTTGTATTTTTATTGGGTACAAATGTTAACTTTTTACAAGATCGTTTCCACGTCTTCAAAAAGGTTGAATCATTTTGAGATGCATGAAATGAAAATTGTTGCACAAAACGATTTCAATTTTAAGCTTCATTTTTAAAACATTTTAAATTAAATATTAAATTTTAAGAATTATTGTTTCGGGCTAAGGACCGGAGTAGATATTATTAATTTGAAATACTGAATGGCTCTAAGATTTATTTTGAATTTGCATACTAATTTATAAGTAATGATTGATATGTTTCTGTGAATAGTTCGATTGTTTTTTTTGGGGGGGGGGGGATGTTTTGTTTATTTGTTTGTTTTTTTTTTTTTGTTTTTGACTATATATAACGAGATGGCGATGACAATAAATTAACTGGAATTAAAGCCTGAAGATTCTCTATATGGTTTTACCTGTTATGGATTATCGTGCAAACCTTACTTGAAAAGAAAATTAAGGACTTCTTTCCCAAAACAAGACTCTTACTCAAATATGATTGTGATGGTGATTTTTTTTTAATAATTTTTCACAGAGCCACCAAGGACTATCTAACTATCAGTAGAAAGACTGCACCTTGTGAGTTTTTCCCCGCAGACTTTGGAAAGGGTCAGATATATGGGTGGGTGGGGGTCAAATTGGAGGAAATATTCCAAAATATCTAGATACTAGTAAGCAAGACTTTTTTTCAATGCCAACACCCAAATAGAATCCTATTTCCTAGGGCGGGAGGGGGATGGGTTCAAAAGGACTATTAATCTTCCTTGCATGAAACAAATTGACAAGTATACTAGCTAGTACATCACAGGCACCTGACGTCACTTATTTTTCTTTTAATAAAAAAATATACCCCCTACCTAATGTGTATTATTAGGTAAGGGGTATATTTTTAGTATTAAAAGAAAAATAAGTAACGTCAGGTGCCTGTGTAGTACATGTATACAGGGGAAAGGCTGTGCCCTTTTCAATTCCTACGGTTCTATGTATATTTATGAAAAGTGTATGATCATTTTTCCAAAGCTTGATAAAAGGAAACAAAACTACAATTCCTTGAATTAATATGGCAATGTCCATATAATTATACATGTAGACTTGATTTGGTTTAAAACAGGGCTAAGACATGGCCGTAGGAACCGGTGGAGGTCACCTTACCCCCCCCCCCCCACCCAACCCCCAATAATGTTGCCAAAATATAGTAAACTATAGAAATCATACCTACTTTATGCTTGTGCCTCCTTTATAATAACGTAAATTTTTTTTTTGCTTGTCAACAAAGGAATTTTTGCTTGGCAGTGCCCCCCCCCCCCAAACTGAAAATATTTGGTTGTGCCCCCTCAAGACTGAAATTACGGGGCCGTTAGGAGAGGGCAGTATACAAAAGAGTGCAAACTTTTAACAAGATGAACTGAGGAATTATTGTACAGTGGCCTGGCAATAATTGGAATTATAAATCTAGGATTTGAAAGTTTTACACAGAAAGAGAGAAAATAAGATTTATTAACTTCCTTAATATTCGAGGTCTATACTAGCCAATGGGAAACTTGACAAATATTAATATTGCAGTTTATTGATAAATAAATAAAAATCTTTCTAAAAAGACACTTCCTTGTGCATGTTGTGTGTATATAACATGGATTCTTATTTGGTTAAATTATAACACTCGGTGTCGAGCTGGATCAGATCAGAAATGTATTTCCTTAAGTTTATGCTTCTCAATTTACTACACCTTAATTGAAATGTTTTACTGATATGTGCAACATTAAATTAAATCATATTAAATTGATCGAGACAAATGTTCTACAGGTTTGGTGGCTAAGTCATCATTTCTCGTATCATCATAATGCTCATGGGTATACGTAAGAACTGCATGATGCATTTTCGTTGGCAATTAATATGCTACATGCATATATTTCATTTCTCCTTTGAAACAGCATGGATATCCCATTAATTTTTATGTGATGCACATGAAATATTTATTCTTTGTAAGGTTGTCCCACAAAAAGTCTGCAGACTGGAATTCGGTAAACATATGTTGTAGCAATCACGTCTAGCAGAGTGTCTACGAGCTGGAATAAGTGAGAATGATTGTTTATAATGTATCCTTGAAGTGCATGGATGTGTGGGTATAGCAATTCCTTTCCTCTTACGTCTATTTTTTTTAAATAAACAAAAATTCACACTCAGAATGATTTTGTTATGACGCTTTGAAGATGCCGCGTTTATGGATCTGTTTTTATTGAGTCATTACATAAATGAAGGAGAAAGCTGATATCTATATTTATATAGACAACCCGTGCGGGCCCCTACTGCATTCTCTTTACACATGCTGTTCGGCGATTTCTCTGATAAGTAAGTCCCACCGCTCCGCACAATAGGAGGGATGCTACATCATATTCCTCGTCAATCTGGCATCTTACAAGTGAGAGAATAATTACTTTACATTTATATCAAAGCCAGGGAGAAGATACACTTTGTTTATTAAGGGAATACCGTATTTCCATTGAAGCGTGTTTTAATATTTATACTTCTGATCCTTGAGGCGAACAACAAAATCACGCACGTTTTTAAAACGAATTTGGAAAAAAGGCAGCTTAATAGTGTGTATCAAGTGGACATTACAATGGCGCAGGTTGAACTTCCAAGATTGACGGAGGGATACCTTGGCCCCCAGGCCAAATTTTACCCGTACGGTTTGACCACTCTATCCCACCCGGATCCTGTCATTCATTCGGACACTAACCAAATAGAAATTGTTATAGGAACAACCGAAAAAACGAGATTTACCACCAAACTTTTGGGAGTGGATCCAAAGGGAGAGTGTAACCAATTTGTGCTTACACAGATCCAAGGAAACGAGTACCATTTCACAATTGCAGTTCCTAGAACTGGATTCTTTAAATTTCAGATCTATGCTTTACCTAATTCTGAAGCTGGGCCAAACATGATCAATGTCTACAATTACCTGTTAAATATCCAGAAAGTGGACAGATATGTGGAGGCATTTCCAAAACAGTATCCTCTTTGGAAACAGGAAGGGTGTTACCTTTATGAACCGCTTATGCTTATGAAAGGAATTAAAGAACCGTCCGTTAAATTCCGGTTCTTGGTACCAAAGGCTGTGGATGTTCAGCTGAAGGTTCACGAAGATTGGATCAAGATGGAACAGGTTGAACCGAACATATACGAGGCTTATGTAGATTTTAGTGTTGGTTACCCTAGTGGAGCCAAAGTCAAACTCAACGTCAAATCTGGACGCAGTCACAAATTTGACACTTTACTGGAATATACAATCTAAGTGTTTAATTTGATAAAAAGATGGGTTTTTTTTCAGTTCGTTCTGTCTTGCAATATGAATTGTTGTTTGATAGCAGTGCCATGTTTTGAATATAGTAAACGTTTGGTGCGTACTTTTCAAATTAAAAAAAAATGTTTTTATTAAGAACTGGGCTTATTGTTTAAGGAGATAAAAAGAAATGAAATTCGTTTACTTTTGATATGTCACATACGTGTTTTGTATTCTTATATTACTCACAATTGTATGCTGTTGTGATCTCATCGCATATACCTGTAAAATGATTAATAGTGCCTACTTTTTCAGCATGGAAAAACATGCATGTTTGTTCGGTGAAACCACAAATGTGCGTACTCTCGGTTTCTGGAGGAGAGGGGTATATTTCCTCATTTCAATCACAGGGAAAACTTCTTTAAAATGTAGCTCCGAAATTGCAAGGTTACCACTTCGAAAAGTAAACATTATAATGGTCACAAACGCTCCCAACCTCTTTGAAATCACTATACAGTATTCAGGGCTTCACCATTATGACAGTGGTATACATTGTATATTCACTGTCATGTAAAAATTCACTCTTGCATACCTAGGAATTAAGTGTGTTAGATATCTAATTCTGATTATTTTTTAAAGTTGTTTGATATGGGTAATGAAATGCACATTTTTATTAAGAACAGCTTCCAGTTATGCACGCGACATGGTGCCATATTGGAAAATCTCCAAAATAAGGTAGAAAACACAAAGATTACTGCCGAATGATTTTGAATGTATATTACGCATATATCTTAATAGAAGTGTTTGGAATGCCAGTAAACACTTTTTTATGTTGTTCGAGATAATTGCATTGTAAACGTTGTGTTCTTTGTTAACTGTACCAACTGGAGCTGCAATACTCAAAGTTTTTTTTATAAAGAACCTGTTCAATAATTATAAAAAATATCAGATAACAGTAGGAAAAATGTTGTATAAATATTGGAAAAAAATTTTTTAAGGCTGTATTGTAATAATAGGGGTGCTCTCGATCAGAAAAATAAACATTAATGTAAAAGCTTTCGGATTAAAAAAAAAAAAAGATTTAATTTTACACAAATCATGTCCTCGGTGATCAGAATAGGACCACAAAAAGGTTTTAATTTTATATGGGATCACAGTACTGAAAGTACTGAGACGAGGTGACGTTTGGGGTTGAATTCTATCCCTTCGAATGCAAGATCGAAGTAATGATACAAAATTTGTCGGATGGCATTATAATCCATAAGCATTTGTGTAACCTTCAATTTGAATCAATGAAATATTTCGGAAACATTATATTCTGAATAGTAGATGTAACCTATTGGTACTTTAAGAGAGCTCACAAATTGATACTTCCTGCATATTTTTATAGTGTCCATTCAGATTTTATAAATATGACCTTGAACTTGTCAAAAATACTTTGGTTAAAAAATGACACATCATCTGGTCATAAGTAATAATTTAGTGAAATATGGATATCTGTTTCTCCATTAGGAAATTCTAGACCTGTCATAATTTTTTTTTTACCAGTGACCTTGAGTTTGCCATAATGACCAGGGTTATGACACACCCTCACATCATAAACAATCTTTGTAACAAATTTGAGCTTCCATTGATTCTTCATTACAAAGTTATGGTCTGGACAAGAATATTATATTTCTTCTGCCAGTTACCTTAAACTTGCCAGAATGACCTTGGGTCAAGGTCTTGACACACCTGCAGGACATTATATTTTATTTTACTAAGCAAGATCTTCCAATGATTCTCCATCACAAAGTTATAGTCCAGACAAGAGCTCTATTCTCTTTCTATCTCTGAACTTGCCACAGCAGTCTAGGTCAGGTCACACCCACAAGAAATAATTAAACAATGTTTGTTCCAAGTATGAGCTTCCAATGATTCTCCATTACAGAGATATAGCCTGGGCAAATATTTTATACATTTTCTATCACCTTGAACTTGCCGGAATGACCTTGGGCCAAGGTTTAGACACATCCTCGGATCATAGGCAATCTCTGTACTAAGTGTGAGTTTCAAATGAATCTCCACTACAAAGATATAGCTCAGACAAGATTACAAGTACAGACAAGGTGATTTCTATATATACTTCGACATCGGGGGGGGGGGGGGGGGAGAGAGAATTATATATGATTTGATTGGAGGGACTTTTAATAACAGAAAATGAAGTCATTGTGCAATTCATTCCGATGTTTATTGACTACTACTTACAGAAGCAGAAGACACAAAACAGACAATTTTTTTCGCCTAAAACATAATTGCATAACACGTGCAAGAAATTTGTAAAAGAAAAATTTGATCACGATCGAAACAAGAATAGAATGAATTAAAATTAGAGAGTAAAAGATATTGAAAACAATATAACAAAAAACCCTGTCAGTTCTGCTTCAAATATATCCAACAAAATATAATGCCAACGCAATATTTATTAAAACACTGTCCAAAGCACTAAATAATTATATTTATTATTTGATTGTAATTCCCATCGCTCTGATTGGGCGAGATCCAACAATGTTAGAAAAATACTACGTTATATTGACCTGCACGTGATCTTCCAGGTCAATATAAGGAATTATTTATTCTACATTGGACCAGAAATAGATAGAGGGTGGGGGTGGGGGGTGGTTGCAGGAGGCCTGCCCCTCTCCCCATCTTTTGAGAATGTTAAGTTTTAATTTAAATTTTAAGGATAAAAAATATCAAGGAAAGAACCCCTCCTTTTTATGGACACAACAAAAGTTTGTGGACATTTACATCCCGCAAATAAAATTTTGATTTGGGAGAATTCTTTTCCTTTTTTATAGGGGGGGGGGGGGTAGTCAAAGATTTGTTTTCAGGTAAGTCGTCATTTTTTTTTTCCTTTTAATGCCCCCTTTTTCAAAATCAATCCTATATATGTGCATGGCATTTATTTTTTCTACATTGCACCTAAACTAGAATTAAAGATTCCAAAATAATACAACTGTTTTTTTTTACCCCCCCCCTTTCTCTCATTTATATGTTCGGCTAGTACAGCTGTGAGGCTATGAACAAGTAATTATTGCTGTTTTTGCGGTCAATACGATGATTTAGACACCTGATCGGCAACAATTTCTATCATTTGGCATAAAAAAACACAGAATAATATAACAAACTAAGTAACAATATGAATGAACAAACATCCAATATCCTTTGCCCAACCGATAAAAAAAACCATATCCAATAATATCATTTATTACTTGGATCTATGCATGCTTGAGTATTGGTCGATAGAGAACCTAGTTTTAAGAAGATTTTATATGTCAACTCATCCTTAAAATAAAGTCTGGTTCACTAAAATGGATAATATGCACTCTAATGATATTCATTATTTGTAAGCTAGATTTGTCATTGTAGGACTGAAAAATGCATGGCTGCACCGGATGTGCCATTCAATATCAGTCTGTTAATTGGTAATTTAACCATTTATTGCATCTTGCGCACGCGTCTGGTAAATGAAAGACTGATCATTTCCTGATCTAGGGGACATTCTAGTGAAAGAATAATCGGTAATCCGTAAAATTTCTTTGGACATTTGAACGGAATTCCTTTTCAGGGATAATTTTAACGGTTTCTAAACAATCAATCAATGTAAAGTCAGCAAAAATTGAGGAATGGTCAAAAGATTAATGACCAAGTTAACAACTCTTACGGAGGTTTAATGGTAAATATTAGAAAAAAGCTCATATATACACATATATAGTGGTAAATTCTTGTATACATTATTTTTTTAATTACAATACTAAACAATATTGAAGCAGTGGTGCTTTACAATCGCATCATCTCGGACCTTTCCGTCAGAGGTCGGAAAATCAACCGGCTGTTTTAAAAAATTCATACAAGATGGAGTCCTTTTTATTAAAGCATTGGAAAGACAGAGTTTAAAGTCACTCCTGTGGTATATTTTAGGTAATATCTTTGCATTCAAAAAAGTTGAACTCCAAACTCTACAGATAGGTATCCCGACATTTATTTCAAAGTTTATGAAAAGGGGGGTTGTCATGGATGCATACGTAGTTAACACATTCGAGGTTGTTTTTCCACTTGTCGGAAAGGCTCGAGAAGTTTCGATTGCGGTGGTATAGAAACAAATCGAGGGAAAAGGAGTATATGTAATTTGTGACGAGTTCAGTACAGAGTTTATGGACAACTAAAATATGTTGTATTATATCTTGTGGATGCTCTATAAAACACTGCAAATTCATTAATTGCACTAAATTTTGCTCGAAACCCCTGTTGGTGAGTACAATGTAGGAGTAGCTGACTTTGTCTGCATAGATAATATAAAAGGTATATTTGACTGAACTGTCCCACTTAAATGTCCACGACCATTTTAGAATATGTATTCTATAAATCTTCCAATAAAATGTCTAAAAAATTTCCCGTCATATCAAGCCGCTAAAAGGAGATGGGCGAACATAGCGTGCAGAAAGCCTATAGCTTCAGAAATATAAAACTCATATTTAGCTTGTGAATTTAATATTTAGAGTAAAGTTCTCATTATTGAAATTTATGAACTTGTGATAAACAAAACTTTTCTGAGGAAAATTTTCTCGGCAAAATTTATTCCTTTATTTAAAAAACAAAACTTTTCTGAGGAAAATTTTCTCGGCAAAATTGATTCTTTTATTAAAAAAAATTAATGTGGTATTCGTGGGGTTCGAACCCCAGCAATAAAAATCCCGAGTATCATTTTCTTTCGAGACTAGCACGCTAACCACTGGACTACACAAGTCCTGACGAACAGTGGCATTTAAATCATGTTTAATTGTGATATGACCCTTGACTTAATGGACTTCAAGTATTTCTCGAAAAGATGCGAATGTTATGTCATAAAAGTATATTTTGAAGGTATAGTGGGTCATTGCTCCATATTTTTGGTAATAAAAAAATGTATATTTTTATGCAAACTTTGAGGATTAACTTTCAAAAAGGTGGAGCGAAGACCCACTCATATCGAAAAATAGTGTTATAGTATGCGAAAATGACTCTTTTTGCCCGCTTTAGTGTGTGTCTAATATATCACAGGCAAATAATTTCAATCTTTGAGGGATTTTTGCAAATTGTAGAGATTTTACATAAAATATATTTTAATGTTAGATGAAATATCAAGAAAAATTTTGATATAATTGAAATTTAATTTTTCAATTTCATGTTTGTCACACTATAGGCTTATCGCTCGTCATGTTCACCCATCTCCTTTGTTTCAAACCCCGCTCCTGGGTTTATTTGAATCATTCGCAGATTCATAATTTAGCTATTCCTAATAGAGCTAGGAACTCGATATAAGATATGAAATATGTCTTTAACATATATGTATTCAGGCCCGTAGGAAGCAAATTCAGTTTGGGGGGGGGGGGTGGCACAGCCATACATTTTCAGTTGAGGGGGCACTACCAAAAATTTCCTGACAAGCGAAAAAAAAGGGGTCATCAGACGTTTTTATTGAAGAGGCACAAGCATATAGTATCTATGTTTACTATAGTAATCTATATATCAGCAAAATTATTACGGGGGGGGGGGGGCACGCCCCCCCCCCCGGTTCCTACGGCCATGGTATTCATCCCTAAATTATTAACTGTTACTTGAACTTGAACTTGGATCTTCTGTGAAACGCGAATATTGAGAAAGCAAATTAAAAGACTAGAAATAAAATTCTACTGTACATCTACATTAGAATCAAAAGTCTCTGATGAGAATGAAGCTCCACTGATTTGTACAAAACAAAGTAACACTTGAACATAAAACTACTGCAATAAATAAAATAAATATACATGTATATATAATGATCCTTAAGAAAGTATTTTCTGAGGCAAGTTTAATTGCAATCGGACTAAACTATAAGAGGAGTAGCCTTTTGAAAGAATTTCACAGAAATGTCCATTTTTAGTAACTATGGTAACGCCCATCGTCAAAATCATAAAACGATACTCAGAATTATGTATCTTAATGAATGTAATCTACTACATTGAAATCGGACCGAAAATGTAAGAGTAGTAGCATTTTGAAAAAAAAATTTACAGACGAACAGGCAAACTGCTATACGGACGGACGACAGACACCTTACTGTCGCATAAGTTTTTCTGGTCTCAGTAGAGCTAAATATGTGGAATATATCCTCCTGTTTTACTTCCAAACAACATCCTCACAACGTCGGAGATTGTTTTTCTTATCTCTCAAACAATGACTTTAAGCCTTTTGCTGATAAACAATGCGGAACACGTTCATTTCAGGTTTCAGCTGATTCCTTTCTGTTTACATTATCTGTCTACTTCAATTTGATTGGTGCTTCTCAATGAAAAAAAACAAGCCCAATTAACCCGAATGAAATTTGTCAGGGGCCCCAACGGCAACGAGTTGACTCAGGACCCCTGGCGTGAGAATGCCAAACCCTGTAGGAGGAGAACTGATTAGAAGAAAAAATATACATTTTTTAAACTATCTTATTAAATCTTTTCTCGCTCATTGTGTTTTCGCTTTTCATATTACAGTCTTCTGTTGAAAAAAAATGTGAAATGGATAGAAAATTAGCAATAGTTTTTGATAATATTTTCCAGCCTGAGACGTTTGAGCCAATGGTAGAAAGTGGGACATACAGTGTACTTTTTCGGCTAGAATTTATATTAAATTTGCCATGCCGCTCTTTGAATTGAATACATTAAACCTATACGATTAGACAAGCGGCAGAAAACGGGGGGCATTCGGAATTTAAAAAAAAATGAAATAAAATGAATTAAATAACATTGCAGACATTGCATGCGTGTTTCACATTCCATAAATCAGTATATAGCTGTTAACTACTCCTTTTTTCTCTAGATCTTCTTACCATAACAGTTTCTACCACCATCTGGTGTATTATCGAACTGGATTGCGTGGTGCGAGCAAACCATTTCTATACAGGTTCAGATAAAAACTAATTTGGCACTATATACATTTGAAATCATCCAGATGGAGGCTAGAAAAATTTGGATGTTGTGCAATTCTTTCTTAAAGATGTCAATTAAGGCTGGGCAATAATACTGATATTCTGGTATATTGCGGTACGATGATAAAAAATATCGTATTGCAATACGTTTTTGTAGTACCGATATACCGACAAAATGCTTTGACTATGATTTCTATAATAAAATATAAAGTACAAGTATTTTATACCCCCGAAGATTCGGAAATATAGTTTTTGCCCTGTCCGTCCGTCTGTCTGTCTGCAAAAACTTTAACCTTGTCCATAACTTTTGGTTGGAGCTATGGCTTTCATATTTCACATGTGTATTCCTTGTGACAAGATCTTTCTTTGGGTACCATCATATATGACCTTTTGACCTTGGAGTTTGACCCAGTTTTGCAAAATTTTACCCAACTTTAACCTTGGCCATAACTTTCGAATAATTGGTGCTAGGGCTTTCATACTTCACATAACTATATAATCCTTGTGACAAGACCTTCCTTTGGATACCAACAACTTTGACCTTGACCGTGGAGTTTGACCTACTTTTGGAAAACTTTAACCTTGGCAATAACTTTTGAACGGTTGATGCTAAGCTTTCATATTTAAAATGTCTATCCCTTGTGACAAGACCTTCTTTGGATACCAACAATTGTAATCCAGTGACATTGACCTTGGAGTTTTGACCTACTTTTGAAAAACTTTAACCTTGGTCATAACTTTTGAACGATTTGTGCTTCGGCTTTCATATTTCACCTGTGTGTTGTTGGGAAAAGGCCTTTCCTTGAGCACTATTAATTTTGACCGTTTGACCTTGATGTTTGACATATTTTTGAAAAAATCTTTAACCTTTTCCATATCTATTCAATGATTGCTGCTAGTGATTTCATATTTCACAGGTATATTCTTCGAGACAACACCTTACTTAGGGTACCAACATATTTGATTCGCATTTGAGAAGTTTAACCTTTGCTATAAGTTGCCGTACGGGGGCATCAGTGTTTTACAAAACATCTTGTTAACAGAAGCGTTTGTGATTGTACCAAACAGAAAGGCAAAAGCTGTTTTATAGGTGCATTTCGATGCATAACTGTAATTAAATCAACAAGATATTTTTCTTGGTTATTTATCAGAGTTATGTACATTCGGCATGTGAATGGAAATCAACAAAATACTAATAAGAAAATACCATTTAAATACATATACATATTTCAATACAGTTAGAAGTATCGCAGTATATATCGCAATACGAAATCTCAAGCGAATACCCAGTCCCCGTGTCCATGGATCGGAATTGCAAGCTATCAAAGATGATGGTAAGCTATTCCACATCCTGCTGGTGTATGGGAAAAAATTATGTTTCTAGGATTCTGTCCTGGCATAGGGAATCAAGATTCCGCGTTGGTAATGACCCCTTACTGTTGCTCCAGTTGGTATATAGCAAGTAGATGGTATGGCATTCAGGCCCCTTACAATGCGGAACATCATGATCACTGTCCGCAGATCTTTCTTGTAGCGTTGGTCATTGCAGTTGTTGTAGCAAATTATTAATGTTAACACTACTGGTGCGATGGAAATCACCATTAAAAAACCTGTAGTCGCTCTCCGTTGTACCATCTCTAGGTTGTGTTTATTATTCAGGGGCGGATCCAGGAATTTTTTCCAGGGGTGGGCGGGGGGATTCCACCCCAGTCAAAAAATGTCCAATCCAGAAAAGCAAAAAAGCAAAAAAAAAAAAAAAAGTCTATTTCTAAACGTGAAAAAAACTATTTCGTGGTGGTGGTGGTGGGGAGGTTCCACGTTTCTTGGGGGGTCCAAAGTAATTTTTTTTTATTTGCTTCAGTATATCCTTTTAATAACTCTGCAAATTCCAGTGGGAGGGGATGGGGGTCCGGACCCCCCCCCCCCCCCCTTAGATACGCGCATGTTGGTGGCTGTGTGTGGGTCCCATATGACACTGACATACTCCATTTGTGATCGTACCGGGGTTTTATAACAAAGTTCCTTGGTCTTCCTATAGGGACTGGTAGATGTTTCGTATAGAAGAAAAGCTCTGTTGTTAGCTTTCTATATGAGAGTTCCAACTAAGTTTATTCTGGATGTTTGCACCTAGATATTTTGCTGATTCCACTATCTCCAAGATGTGTCCATGGATGGTGTATGGATGTTTATTGGCCGTCTCTTATTGGTAATATGAAGTACTTGGCATTTCGAGGGGGGGGGGGGGGATTCCATGAGCCAGTCTTTTTCCCACTCTTGGAGAGTCTCCAGATAATCTTAAATCTTAGGAACTTAAATCATAAAAAATAAATTTAAGAGAAATCTCTGGCTCTATAAGCTTTGGCGGAGAGAAAAAATACAACCATGTCTTGCAGATAGTCTCTGTCATTATGATCGGGTTCGTCATTCAAATAATTTAATCTGAAAACAAATCTGAAATGAAAATGTTTCATCAATTCATGTTGAGACGGTGACCAAGATTTTCAACTATACATGTACATGTATCTACGAAGTAATCTAGCCAAGAAATAACGCTTTGTTAACTTTAACTTAATAGTTAAACTTATCTTTATGACAAGTTTAGAAAATGTCGAGGGCAGGTGCTAAAGAATATGATTGTCTGATAATTTACGATCATGCAAGATCACGCTTAGCTTCTACAGAAGAAACGGAACTTTCATTAAATATTGTCAAGAAGGCCGACGAGCATCTGACAAGATGGGGATACGGTAGAAATAATTATCATGACAGAGACTGCATTCCTGGAAGAAATGTTTTCACTGAACTTTTCAGGGTTGTTGATTCCTCTCAATTTGTTTTGTTAATTTTAACTGAAGGTTTCTTGAAAAACTGTTGGGTGCGTTATTGTCAGATGGCTGCCTTTAAAAAACTCATTGACGAATCCATTCGTCCCGAATGCATAGCTTCCCATCGCGTTATTCCTATATCAGTAAATGTACCAGAGGATGAAGTTCCTCAGGAATTAAGACAGCTAACCTGTATCTACTTTGTGAATGATTGGGAAACTAATGAACAAGAATGGCTGAAGTTAAAGAGGGCACTAGATGGTCCTTCAATGCAGGAGACTTCTCAACCTAATGGTGATTCAACAGTACCATCACTTTCCCAGCATATTGCACAAGGTGTTCGAGAATCTTCTTCAAACCCAAATATTCCCCCTGGTATATCAAGTAGATCAGACAGAACAGGTGGGACCACCCGAAGTGGCAGCACATCATCAATAAATCCTCCTCAGTTAGCAAGGGTCACTCCAAGTAGTGGGAGCACTGCATCTATATCTAGCAATGGCAGTAATCAAAATGGATTTCAGTCACCTACTAATGGAAATACATTTTGCTCTACAGATAGTATTGATAGTAATGAATTATTTTCTTCATTGAGAGATTCAAATCCAAATTCCTCAACCCAAAGAACAACGACATTATCTGAAACCAGTTTATCTCAGATAGGCAGCAATGTACCACAACATATGCCACCACTGTCACAGCATCCACACCCAAAACATTCAGGTAATTTTACATAATGTATTTCAAACTGAAAAATATCATATTGTTATACTGAGATCTAATTCATTTTTAGTGATATCTGTTGAGACTATCAAATCGATTGTCTTCACCTCAAGATTAACAAGATTAACCTTGGCTAAAAAATGGAAGATTCCGAACAAGACTGCATTAAGTTTGAATTCCATTGAAAAAGTGTAATAAAGCTCTGTTTGATTTTAGTAGCAATGGGAGACTGTGTCACATTATCCGTATCCACAAGTTTGTCTGTAGAACCAATTGTACAACCAGTACAAGCCAGACTGAGCGAGTCTAATCGTCCCATCACTCACACCAGCAGTTTTATGGCCAGTGGTAAGATCCAAATTGTACATTACTTTATCATTTAAGAATTTTCATTCAGGTAAAACAGTGTTTGAAATTCACTGTAAAATTAGCCAGACATGCAGGGCTGACTGGTAGTTAAATTTGTCAGCCCTGCCAAATATCTTCAAGCCCAAGAAAATAATAATGTTTAATAAATTTGTTCTAGCCATTACCGGTATGTGACTGGGACCAGGTCACGACAACTTTGATCCCGAATCTAATGGTTTCTTCCTCTTGGCTTTTACACTTTGCTACCAATGCTTTCAACTGATTTGAGAGAGATTTGTAACTTATATGAATTTAACATATTATATTACTTATCAAAAATTTTAACACGTCCAACCAGGCGTCAATACATGCAAATTTGTTCCCCCGCTGCAAAATTTGTGCGTCATGGGCTGTTGGGCGCACTGTTATTTCAAACACTGAGGTAAAATCAAGAGGATATGCTGATTTTTTTTGTGTTGTTGTTTATTTATTCTATTTCCGTTTTACCAGTATATATCTCATGGTTCTTAGAAATATAGGTATTTTCTCTTTTTTTGCCAATTCTGACCATGAGTATTTTGAAAAACTTACCAAAATCAATTTGGACATTTTTTTATCAGTATTTGAATTTAGTTCAAGTCACATTGGGGGAAAATCTAGATCTTCAAAAGTGTACCTATGTGCATTTTACTGTAGATACAAGCACAGATGGCCCCTCTTCATCAAATCAAGACTTACATCCAGGTGGAGATGAAACAAGTTTGAAACAAACAGGAATGCAGTTTCCAGGGTATTGTGTAATAATGTGTCATTTTTCCAAAAAAAAAATTCAAAAATTATTTGAAGACCACTTTATTTACATCAATACTGAAATTGAAATACATTGTGTTTGTAAAGTCTTCATTGCTTTATAGAGGATTACCTTCCCGTTTAAATTCTACTGATCTGGAACCAGATGCTCAACAATCCATAAGTCCTGTTGTAGCAACAGTTACTCCCTTCAAACCCAGTTCACAGAGTATGTTTTCCTTGGCCAGTCAGTCCAGCACTAGTATGGTCAGTGACTCTGGGGTAGAGGAGGGAAGTCCACTTAATGGGCCAGAAGCAGAATCTCTTAGTCTCAACTCATTTCTGGCAGATTCCACTGGCCAAGATGAAGAGTTTCCTAGCTCTGTCCCAGAAAATGGGAATGTCAACCCAACTGTACGGAGAGAGGAACCTGACACTACAGGTACACAAAGTGCAGAGGGGCCCACAACAGGTACAGTGTTTTAACTTTAACAAGTCAAGTTCTTTTTTCAATTTTGAGTTATATAAATAGTAATTATTGATATGAAATCTTTTTTGAATTAATGAGTTCAAGTTATATAAAGAGTAATTATTGATATGAAATCTTTTTTGAATTAATGTAAGGCTTAACCTGTGTCAAAAAGTAGGGTACCTTGCAAAAGGACAATTATACAGCTACCATTCTACAGAAGTGTTATATACTTTGTCAATATATTTATGAGAAATATGATGTGTGATACATATACATGTATTGTATATGTTTAGAAAATCTTAGTGCACTTTTAAAATATGCATAAACTATTTCAAAGTTACTTTCCCTGGTGGCATGGAATTTTAAAATAGATCTTCCTTTATAAGTAAGCATCTGTTCTTTCATCACACAATATTTTTTCTTATTTCTTTTTCAGCAGAAAGAGAGGGACGTCCTTCCTTGTTATTCCAGTTTATTCATTTATCTCTTCATGCTTTGCTTCAACCTGATAGACCTTATAAACCACTATAACATTCTAATTTATCCCACCAAGGGACTGGTGAGAAACAAATACCTGTATGACACTGTCAGAAACATCATACTGGGACACATTTTGTAACTTCTGTGGATAATTTCTATAATTGATTCATAGCTGTCTCGGAAAAGAATTGTGTTATCTGAAACATTTTCAGTTATAGAAAAAAAAATCCAGATTCAGAATGTTTTTTCCCTTTCTTATGTGAACTGCAAATCTTTGAAAAATGCATATTTTTAGATGAAGTGCCTCAGTGCCAATCTGCTGCATAGTATATGTACATGTTATACTATATATATATTTTGTATATGGGATGATACTGTACTGTTACTTAGGGTAAATGACAATCTTTAAAACTGAATGTAAAGGTTACAGCTTAGATGTAAACACTTTCCACATTTATTAGTAATGGGCAATAACCCAAGTGATATGAAGTACATATTAATGTATTAAATATGTAATGAACAAATTTTTTAAATCATAAATTATTTGTTTGTTTTATCTTAAGTTTATGTACATGTAATGTGCTGTATACTAGTGTAATAAGTGGAAGTTATTTAACTAATTTTCGTTTGGATTTAACTTTGTCACCTATCTGGAACACAAAATAGATTGTGATTTATAAATGTTTTGGATTTTATATGGACCAAAACCATGTGAATTATGATTATCTTTTCTGATGCTGGACATCAGATAGATAATAATTTAATTGTTATATTCATCATTTTATCTGAAGAATGGAAGCAGTGACCATGTTACAGGTATTCCTCTCAAATTTATTACTGCTATTCAAGACAGAAGCATTATCATTTGGTATGTAGATGAATTTTGAGTATTGTATCTGGAGAAGAGGAAAATGTGACGGACCAGACCGGGATTGGAAACCGGGCCCACAGAATCATTTTTCAGGTGCTTTACCAACTGAGCTATCTGGCCACTGGTGATGGAAGCTGTCTGTCCCCACTTTCCTCCCTCCTTACCTCCTGACTACAACACTCTGAACATCAATGAAATCACTTGATGGCATTTGTCATGTATAAAGTTTCTGTTTCAATATTTGTTATCATGATGGATATATGTAATATTTTACTTCATTGGTTGATTGGTTGTTAAAAAATGGGTATTTTTTATTGTTTCTTTGAATCATGTGGGACTCTGTACAATTGATATTTGATAAATTTGAATTTTTGTAGGAAGGACCACTGAATATGTTATTCATTAGCTTTGTTAATCATGTATGCACATCTATTATAGATGATTTTTTTTTTTGAGCATGGAATGCAAATCAACTTGATATCATCATAATGAAAGGTGTGGATTATTTATATTATTGATGTTTTTCTTTTACTACACAGTATTTTCAAAACATGATGGCAATAGTTAATGCCATTGTGATGGAAGATATATCTCATTTGTTATCTTGCAGTTTCCACAGTAAGTAATTAATGGTAGATGATTAATTCTTGAATGAGTTTGATACATACATGTATACCTTACTGCAAAAATAATATCATCCTCCAAGAGGACCCCTAAGTACACAATTAAGGCTCAGATAGGCAGGGTTGTCCCTAAGACTGGGGGCGGAAGGGGGGATTTCCCACCTATAATGATGTAATCCCCAAGTTATTCTGGTATTCCCCCTGAACCCCCTGTTAGGGGAGGAACCCCAAACCCCCTTCTACTTTTTTAATGTCCCCTGCTATTTCAGTTTTTAGGGACAACCCTGGATAGGTATGGTGGGCTGCCTGATCTCACTAGATTAGATATATATCAAATATTGAATAAATTATAGCTTAAAATAGATTTCTTTCGCAATGTTTCAGATAATCAAAAGAAAATACTTTATGTAGACCAGTACAAGTACTGTTGATGCAACTTTAGAGTCTCTCTGTAAAATGCAATCATTGTTTTTTTAATTTCAGAATAAAATATACAATATATTGGCATGATTTTTTGCAGTTTAAATATAAGTCAAAATGAAGACACTAATAAGTTTGTTTTTTTTTAATTGTCTCTATTTTAAATATATTTTGTCATGAAAAATAAACTTTTAAACAATCAGGAATTTACTTATGGAGGATGGATCTGTGTTTTATTTGTAAAAAATACATGTGAAGGAGTCCAAGGATATTTACATGTAGCTGGAAAAGTTGAGTACTTGAAGTGATGAAAAGAAACTTAACTGTCATGCTATGATACAGGAAAGATATATGTTTATTAATGCATATACTTGGTAAAAGTTATCATACCTCTAATCCAACCCCCTTCCCCTCCCCATATTTGTAGTGTTGTAGAACTGACAGACTAAAGTTAAGCATTACCTTAATTTTGTGCGTCTTAAATTTGTGATCTACATAGTGGTCGATAGAATATGTCATATAAAACGGAAGAAAAATATTATTACTATAAAAAAAAATTATCCCCAAAAATAAACCATATTTTACTAGTACTTTGTGCGATGTCTCAAAGTTGTTTCTTCTGTCCAAATACTTGTACTCATACATTAACTTGGAATTTATTTTTCGATAAAATGTTTTCAAATGACCTTGGCTCAAGGTCATGATCCACTTTTAGTGAGACTAAAAAATTAAGATTGACTTGTGACCTGCTAATAGTTCACCATTTCTAATGTCAAGTATAAGATAAATCATAAAATGCAATGTAAAAATGGTGACCGGCTAATTATTAATTAGCCTTGTTTTATTTGCAGTTGTTGGATATGCACACCACTGTCAACAAATTGCTCTCAAACCCCAAGTTAGTCGGAAGAAAAATCCATAATTCTGTTGGCTGAATTATCATTATGTTATCAGCAGGTCACAGATACATGTATTAGAGTTATGGGATTCAACTGCAGCAGTGCACACAACAAGAAAATCTTACAGATATCTGAAGATTTGTTCTATTGAGGTTAAAATACATAAAGATTGAGTTTTTGGGACTTTTAACTCACTTCAACAAATTCATAGTATTCAAGATATCAATGTTCCAGATACTGATGTTCAACTGTAATTGTATTAAGTTACTTCCTATACTAAACTTTTTGGAATTAAGCTTATGTTCAATTAATTCATATCAGAAAATGATTCTTCAGACATCAGTTAAAAGATTTTTGGATTTCAGAAAATATAACCTGTTTAGGTTCATAAAAATAATTAATTCTCCCTTGATTTTTCATGTAAAATTTTACTCAGATTGTTTCAACACAAGCAATCTCCTGTTTTCAGATTTTATATATTTGTTTTATTTCAAAAATTTTTAATTAAACAAATAATTTTAAATAAAAATAATCTTTTTAAAAAGAAATTCTTATTTTTTTAATATTAAAAAATGATTTTTGATATCAGAAAATGGCCTTTTAGGTATATATTTAGATCTACCAGAAAATTGTTTTTTTTTTCAATAATAACGTGTGTTCGTTATAAATAATACTGAATGCTATTGTTTATAATACCTAACATTAATTCATCAATTGCATGAAAACAGAATGACACGATGAAAGCATCATGTAATATCTAGTAAACGTTAAGAATATTGTTATTGACATTTCTGAATCCATATATATGCGATATCGTATGGAACGCGCTTACAATATTTTAAATTTTGACAGTACCCCCGAAATACTGCGCTAGGCCTAATCGGAACTTTTCGCGTGTTATCACTGGCGCCCAAGATTTATCACATGCGTCAGTATGGAAGCAGGTGGAAAAAGAAAGTGGGCGCAGAATATATTTTTATTTACGGAATCGGAGATGTTGGCTATGGAATAATGTATTATCATAAGTAAAGTTTTGAAATATCACGGATGGATACATTAAGACGACAGTGGGTGTGTACTGTTTGAATTTTATTTCAATGTTTAGATCTACAACATGTTTACATTTACAGTGCAGATAGTTTAAAAATTAGAAACGTGTCATTCTGTTTTCATGCAATTGATGAATTAATGTTAGGTATTATAAACAAAAACATTCAGTATTATTTATAACGAACACACATAACTACAGTATTTGGTACACGTAATGTATACAAGCCGCTACATTTTGGGTTGTATACTCAGCTGAATGGGTGTGGTTTCCCAGGCCAGGCCTGCATCGGTGTTAAACAGGAAGGTATATTCCTTCAAGATAACGTATGCAAAATACCCAATTCTAATTAGGTCTAATTCATTTTATCATGAGATTGCTGTCCTGAAGCTCTCCTCTTGTCAGCTAGTCCGAAATATCTGACGTTTTCCAGGCTTTTTTCACGATTTTCATATTTTACGTGCCAGGATCAAAATCGTGAAAAAAGCCTGGAAAAAGTCAGATATTTCGGACTACTTGTCAGCATGTTAAAATGTTTGAGACGAGTAACAACTAAATGTGTACAGTGGATATGCATTGAGGACCACAGGTTTGTTGGTACTTTAAAAAAATATAAAATAGATACCATATAGACTTCACGTAATGTACCTCGCCAGCTCGATCCATCTGTCAGTTGACAGTGGTATTGCTGGGGGTCCTGGGTTTAAGGCATTATAAAGTCCGTATGTATCTAACACTTCAATGCACAATTTTAAAGGTATATTTTTATCATGATGATATAAATAAATCAGTGTCTGGAGTTATTGAATTCATTTGATGGCTATCTATATGCATCAAAAGAGGCCTTGAGGTCTAGTATGTCTGTAATTTGTCTTTCAGTGTCCCTATTTTGTGAATGATGAAGTCACCCAAGGTAATTTAACAGAAAAACTTGATTGTCAACATGGTTAAGTATCATTTCATCATTGCAGTTCTTCTCATTAAAATTTTCATTCTCCATTGGATCATTTGGATGATTAAAGGAATATGTCACAACTGGATTTTAATTTTTAACGGGTAATAAAAATCATCAGGTTAATAATACTTTCATCAGTACCACCTGTTATCTACTTGCAGCCTTTAAAACTATATATAAATAATATTTAGTATACTTGATTTTGTGCATTCCAATTAAAACCCCACATGTTTTTGGAAATTATATAGAGGACATGATTTTAACATGTCTAGGATGGTAGGAAGCCTTTAAAAGCATACATTTAAAAATACACATCATATAAGTACCATGTTAGACATTCTTATGATTGTCAGTATTTTCTTACCAGTGTTAACTAGAGTTTTAATTAATTTGAACCTTAAACATGTGTTAATTTAGTATTCACGATCGGGACTGTTTTTATGAAGATACCTACTAGTCTAAATGAATTGAAACAGTTTATTTTACTACACATTAAGAAGATCCATACAGATGAAATCTGAAATGGGCTTTCAATTAAAAAAAATGTCTCAAAATTAGGTCACAGTGACCTACTTTTGGGTCCTGCCACACCCTCTCTCAAAATTGTAAGCTAATAATGTTATATGATTTTAGGTCTTGCAATGGAAAACTTGAAAGATATAACTATTCAAGAAAAAGCTAACACAGACAGACAGATAGACAAGAAAGTGCGCGAGTCTATACCTAAAGTCTATACCATAATAATGTTTGTTATCATGATTATAATATTAACCCATAAGAGGATAATGTATGGACCATCGCTCTTTGAAGAGCCTCATTTTCTAGTGCTTGACACATAAAACTACTACTGCTTTTTTTCAAGTGTACTACTGCATATATTTATAGTGTTGTGACATTACAAGACATAAGGCAAAGATTGATAAATAAATCTAGGTTCTTAACATGTATTTATAGATGATGCATGAAACCTTAGATTGCATGAAGAGTATTGAGTTACAGGTAAAAGATGTAATTTAATTTAGGCACAGTATTTCAATTAAGTCAGAATTAGAGAAGCCTTGGACTCAGGACAGCACCATGGCACACTACCTGCTTTTCATTATGTTCCCTTTGTAATGATTTATGGCAAGTCTTGCATACTGATATTATTTGACAGGTTGTCATAAATAATAAAATTGAACATGTATATTTGTTTATGCCGTAGTATCTACATTTCTAAACATTGCTGAAAACAAGTTTTCTTAATTGAATCAGGTAATGAACAAATGCGTTAAGAACTTTTTCTTGCAGTTTCGATGTCGATCTGTAAGGAATTTTAGATTTGGCATTCTCTGCATTTTCCTCAATAAATATCTAGGATGTTAGGAAGGAATAGACATATTCTTTTCTTCAAGATATCCCCCCTCCCCTTCGCTGTTATATGGGTATCTTTATTTATTAATATGCAAATTGGGTATTGGTGTTTTGTATTGGAAGTATGTGTTACAGATTCAATGGTTGTTTAAGAAAATGAACATTTGTAAAGTGGAATACTTGTGTTTAGAACATTCTAGAATCCTTTCATGATTAGCCAGTGATCACATTGTCAAGTATATTAGGAATAATTATCATACAAATTTGCCTTTTGTACTCTAACAATGCAATACAACACTTGGAAAACAGCACAAGTTTTATGTGTCAAGTACTAAAAGCTAAAGGTGTAATTGTACTCTTCAAAGAGGTGGTCTACACATCATTATCTTCATAAGGGTAATGCCTCTCTTTTGATAGGCGGTAATACCATATTATGGTATAGATTTTCCTGTCTGTCTGTCTCTCTGTCTGTGTTAGTCTTTTTCTTTTCTGGGTCATCTAGCTCTTATACACTGTGAGACTTAGAATCATCTAAAAGTGTCTATTGATGCATCTTTGGGGAAGGGAGGATGTGACCCGCAAGTAGGTCACTATGACTGAATTCTTATTTAAATTTACCCAAGGTAGGTGCATTTAAAACATTATACACATTGCTCAAGGACAGAAAACAAAGGGAAATCACTCCTCAATGATTGCTTATCAATGAGCGCTAACATTGTATTGAATCAGATTTGATCTTTGCTTTTGTGAACTTTATGAAGTGTGAACTTACATTGCACATGATTCTGATTTCAAATTAAAAACCACTAGATGTACATGTACTTATATTCACATTGCAGTTTATACCAATATTGTTAGTGTAAACTTGTAAAGTTAAAAAGTTGTTTAAAGGAGGTTTAAAAAATGAAGAGTGCTTCGAATGATTGATGGTCATTACTGCTCGTGAATCAACAAGTGAGTGATATTTTCCAGCTCTGCATTACGCCTTACTTATAAACAAATGTTGGGAATATCTAAGTTAATTTGTTTTTTGGTTTTGAATTTAAAAGAAGATTTAAATTTGTTTAAGTTCTAGATGAAGAGTGGAGTGTGCATTATTTATCCCAGTGATTGATGTGATTATTTTAAGTTACATAAGGATAGGTATACACCTAGTCTGTTTGTACACAACCATTTATTGTCTCTGTCAATAATTATTGCCCCATCCTTAAGAGGCCCTATACAGTCACACAGTTCGGTGTTTGTTCTAGTTTATGTGTAGTAGGGCTTGTGAAGTTTTATGTTCAGTGTCAGCTAAATCTCTTTCAATCATGTGTCGTAAAATTTTCACCACATACCCGATAGAATATGTATTGCTACTTGCTGGTCAATGGCTTTTTACCTGTGTGATCTATCTGATGTAGGATTTACTTATGTTATATTCTCATGCATGGATCCTGTGAAAAGTGAATATTAAAAATGGTAAGTGTATATTAATCAATTAACTAAAATAAATTCAGATAGGTTGGTTTTATTTATTTTTTTTATTCACTCCACTACAAATATTGCTGGGCAGGAAATACAAAATCAGATCTATGAAAAAACTGCATGTCATTGAATAGGGGGTTAGATCCTTTCTGCTGATATTACTGTGAAAAAGGAAAGGTGTTTTTCCGTGTTGACGTCTATCTCCTAATTAGATATTATTATACCCTGTTAAAGGAGGATGTAAATGATTGGGGTTTCCCTCATTTTAATCTGTGTAAGATATAGGACTGATTCACTCTGACATCTTGAAGTTCATGAAATGGTTGACTGTAAAATAGCTGGAAAATGAAAAGAAAAAAATCAAAGGTAAGGTATACCTGTACAATGGTCAATTATATTTTGTTGAAGGTGTGCCTGTGTTACAGTAGAAGGATCTATATTTTAATTTTTACTTAAAAAGCTTTTTATTTGTTTTGCTAAAATTTATCTTAAAATATTGCATTTCCCTCTCCAAAGCATAAATTAACAATTGTTTATGTACATCATGTACATAGTACATGCTGAGGGGGTTATTAGTTCAAGCATTTCTAATAAGAAACAAAAAAGCTAGGAGATGCATGAGATAAGGGGAAGTAGGATTTTTCAAAGTTTAAATGAATTTCTAATATGTGCATGTTTCATTTTAGTTGTATACAAATGTGAACAAGAATATAGTACAATTGAATAAGGTTCATTACACAACCAACCTTATTGGATTATTAATTTGGATTTGTATATTCTGTTTCAATCTTCACATAATGTATTAACATATTCTTTTAGGATTGCTTGAAACGCCATGTACCTACGGACAGAACAATCTACGTGGACAACAAACCCTCGCCCAGCGAGAGCCCAGAGGTGGCGATACATCAACATCAGCATTACCCCAATAACAGAGTGGTCTCGTCAAAGGTACAGTCTAGATCAGACAGGATCTTATCCATGTGACAATAGTCATAATGCACATGAACTCATGTTTTGTCATGCTTAAACACTCGAAATACTTCAACAAACTGTAGACATACTTTTTTAGCTCACCTGAGCCAAAGGATCAAGTGAGCTTTTCTGATCAAAATTTGTCCGTTGTCTGTCGTCGTCGTCGTCGTTGGCGTCGTCGTAAACTTTTCACATTTTCATCTTCTTCTCAAGAACCACTGGGCCAAATTCAACCAAACTTGCCACAAAGCATCCTTGGGTAAAGGGGATTCAAATTTGTTCAAATGAAGGGCCACGCCCTCTTTCAAGGGGAGATAATTAGGAATTACTGAAAAAATAATGGCATCATTTAAAAATCTTCTTCTCAAGAACCACTGGGCCAGGAAAGATGAAACTTATGTGGAAACATCCTCAGGTAGTGTAGATTCAAGTTTGTTCAAATCATGACCCCGGGGGTAGGGTGGGGCCACAATGGGGGATCCAAGTTTTACATAGAAATATATAGGAAAATATCTTTAAAAATCTTCTTCTTAAGAACAGTAAAGCCATGATTGGTCATATTTATATGGAAGCATCCTCAGGTAGTGTAGATTCAAGTTTGTTCAAATCATGACCCCCGGGGGTAGGGTGGGGCCACAATGGGGGATCCAAGTTTTACATAGAAATATATAGGAAAATATCTTTAAAAATCTTCTTCTTAAGAACAGCAAAGCCATGATTGGTCATATTTTTATGGAAGCATCCTCAGGTAGTGTAGATTCAAGTTTGTTCAAATCATGACCCCCGGGGGTCGGGTGGGGCCACAATGAGGGATCCAAGTTTTACATAGAAATATATAGGAAAATATCTTTAAAAATCTTCTTCTTAGGAACAGTAAAGCCAAGATTGGTCATATTTATATGGAATCATCCTCAGGTAGTGTAGATTCAAGTTTGTTCAAATCATGACCCCCGGGGGTAGGGTGGGGTCACAATGGGGGATCCAAGTTTTACATAGAAATATATAGGAAAATATCTTTAAAAATCTTCTTCTTAAGAACAGCAAAGCCATGATTGGTCATATTTATATGGAATCATCCTCAGGTAGTGAAGATTCAAGTTTGTTCAAATCATGACCCCCGGGGGTAGGGTGGGGCCACAATGGGGGATCCAAGTTTTACATAGAAATATATAGGAAAATATCTCTAAAAATCTTCTTCTTAAAAACAGTAAAGCCATGATTGGTCATATTTATATGGAAGCATCCTCAGGTAGTGAAGATTCAAATTTGTTGAAATCATAACCCCCAGGGGTAGGGTGGGGCCACAATGAGGGATCCAAGTTTTACATAGAAATATATAGGAAAATATCTCTAAAATCTTCTTCTTAAAAACAGTAAAGCCATGATTGGTCATATTTATATGGAAGCATCCTCAGATAGTGAAGATTCAAGTTTGTTCAAATCATTACCCCGGGGATAGGTTGGGGCCACAATGGGTGATCAAAGTTTACAGAGGAATATATAGGAAAAAGTCTTTTTCTCAAGAACAGAAAAGCCATGATTAGTCAAATTGATATGGAGGCATCTTTGGGTAGTGTAGAATGAAATTTGTTCAAATGAGGGCCCCCGGGGGTAGGGTGGGGCCACAATAGGGGATCAAATTTTTACAAATGAATATATGGGAAAAAAATCTGCTGCTCATGTTATATTGATATGAAAGCATCATCAGGTAGTTTAAAATTCAACACCCCCCCTCCCTGTAAACTTTTCAATACTTACTGATTTTTGCTTTTTTTCCTAGCCAATGTGCTCAGGTGAGCGATGTGGCCCATGGGCCTCTTGTTCCTCTAGGGATTAATTGACACCATGTACGTGGCCATGGATTTTCCATGGAAATTTATCACAGGGTAATTAAAATTTATATAAGACTATAAAAGACAATCCAAGAAATCTGTGTGATTTTATACTCACGGATAAAACCCAAATTTTGATTTCATGGAATTGTGACCTGTGAAAAAAAGTATGTTTACAGTATTTGAAGATAACAGTTGAATAGTTATCATTTGGGTTTTTTTCCTCCAGAACATACTGGGAATTTTTTATTTTTGTGCATCAGCAATACCTGAAGCAGCAAGGCTTATTTTAAAAAAAAAATATTAAAAGTACTCCTGTAGGGGTTTTTAAAAAATACCCTGAACATCATAAAATATCCTGACCTAATCAAGATAGAGCAAATCCAGTCGCTTCTTTCCTCAGAAGAAATACCAGTATTTGAAGGCTAATTTATTTCTCACATTTATTGATTCAACTCCAGTAAGGAAGAGTCCTTTTATTCATTTTAGAAATTATGCCTTTACTTAAAAACCCCTTTCATAGTATTGTATATCACTTTTTACTCCTGAGAACTAGTGGTGTTCCAATCATCAATTATAATCGAAAATCAGTCGATTGCTGGTATAATCCAAGTGCTCGATTACAAAATTTTTATTCCGAATAATCGGGATATTTTTTTTTCTATTTTACAACCGTTCACGGTAGCTCAGTCGGTAGAGTGCTGGCTTCGTGATTGAGAGGTCATGAGTTCGAATCTCGGCTGCGACTGACCTAAGTCCATAAAAATGGGTAGCAACTGTTCCTTTGCCATGCGCTCGGCACTTTGAAGTGAAAGTTGCGGGTCCTTCGGATGAGACCTTAAAAACTGAGGCCTTGACTTTTTGGCTTAGATTCATCAAAATTTGTCAGTTGATGCATCTTTGGTCCTCGGAGTACAACAACTGAAAAGTAGGTCACTGTGACCTACTTTTCAATTTATATGACTATAATTAAATATTTCGGGTACTAATTGGCTTAGAATCTTCAAACTTTGTCAGTTGATGCATCATGGGTCCTCAGAGAATGACAAGTGATAAGTAGGTCACCATGACCTACTCTGAGGTACTAATTGGGTTAGAATCATCTTGGGTTCTCAGAGTGTTTCATCTAAAATGTAGGTCATGATGACCTTCCTTTGGAATTTCAAGGCTTTATCTAAATATACAGGATATTTAGAGGGATCAAATAGAAGTGGTAGGTTGTACAGTTTATCAGAAGAGCGATTCAAGGCCCTTGGGCCTCCTGTTCAAAAAATATTATAATTGTATCTTTTATTTGAGATATAAAATATGCAATTTAGTCAGCATTTACCTTAAATATAAAGAGTAATCAATTCCCCCCACAACTTTTTGAAGTTCGTTTTCTGCCGCTAGGCAGCCTTGTTGGGTGTCCACTGTAAATATAACACCTGGATAATTCAGTCCTGGGATGTTTGACCCCATTATTCATAAAAAAAAAAAAAAAAAATACCCGACCTACCAACCCTTGATTTTTTGGGAATGTTACAGGAAACAAACAAAATTTTTTTTTAGGCCTTAGTTAGTTACAGTAACCCAATCATCGATTATGAAATTCTTACTGATTCCCATCACTGCTGAGAACTTTATTTTCATTAAATTATGCAAGACTGTCTGCTTTCAAAATTTCATTCTCGCATATACTTTTATTAGCATAGGATATGAACAACAATAACCAGCATTCTTGAAAATACTGTTTTGCTGATAAATACAAAATATCTAAGTCGCGAAAATAAAGTGTCACGAAAATTTGATGATCTACAGTAAATATTGTTGTTTGTGATCAGAGCGGGTGAGCTTCATTCAATAAAATTAATACACAACAGATTGGTATAGGAGGTGGATAGGTAACGGCTAGGAGAAAAAGTCTCCTCCCTCCCTTTTCACTGTTACCCCATATTTTCTCAGAAAAGTTTATGCCGAAAATTTTCGAAAATATATATCTGAGCCAAAGACTACTTTTCCAAAGGTTTTGCTGTCCAGTGTCAATTAGAATCTCTGGAAAAAGCTGAAAATCAATATATACCCTTCCCTTTATTAACATGTTTAAGTGATATCAATTTCAACCAAAGCAGTATTAGTCCTCAGGGATTAAACATATATATTTGCTGGTTTTACTTTATCATATACCAATGATTTCAAACTCCTTTTCTAAAAAAGATCTAATATGGAATGCTTGATAATAAAGTGACTTCATGACTTTCAGAAAAGGATGAAAGTGGGATGCTTTATGTTTGCATTTGGTCTTTAGATGATACTCTTTGTTATGGATTATGAAAAATGCTGAATACTTTTATTGTTTTTCCGTATTACAACAAGTATTGACACTAGCATAGGATTGTAAAAATAAAGAATAGAGAGGATGGACAAAAACATCAAATGGCCATTGATTTAGATTTGCTGGGTTAAATTTATAAAGTTGACACTCCTTTACATGCATTTGATTTGATTTTGAACATTAATTTATATGGTTTTTAAGTGGATTTCAATAGGCTGTAAGTGTGCACACTTCTTTGTGTGGCCTGCAAAGTAGAGCAGCTATTTGCCCAGAGCCAGTTTGTCTGTCTATCTGTCACATCTCTTTCTAAAATACCAGGGTAACTGACCTCATGACTTTGTATTTGACCTTTGGCTTACTTTTCAAAGATTATTTTATGTTTAAATGAATAAACATGAAATTTAGAATTTCTGACCACTTTCTGACTTTTTTTGACCCTTCAGTCTTAATTTTTTTGGACTCATTGAAAAACATCTATATGCTATGTAATTTAATTGATAATATCAGCAATTCACAGGGACTTGACATTGAGCATGATCATTCCTTGAAGCAATACATTTTCATCTTGACTCTGATTTTTCTTCATTTTTTAATTTAAGGATAAAGTTCAAGTTTCAAATAAACTTTGACCTTTTCAATTCTACATGTGATAAAATCTCAAACAAGCTTACTCAGGATACTTAAGATAACATCTTTTCTCACATCCTAAATGTTAACTATTTTTGCTCTAACTGTTGCAAATGACACATTTAGTACACAATTCTTTGAACACTTTAGCGTATATTTGAATTACGTACCCAATGACTCTACTTGATATTTCTTTTATTTTGCACTTAGAAAAAGAAGAATTAATTTGAATTTCTTAATAATATAATCATTGTTTGCCCTAAATGGGTTGAACTGTATTGAGAACGAGTTTAAATTGATTATTTTTTGATAGATTTTGTTGAATTTTAGTATGAATTTATATGCAGTGTCCTTTTGATTTCAGTACACAGTTTGGAACTTCATACCAAAGAATTTATTTGAACAATTCCGAAGAATTGCCAACTTTTATTTCCTGTGTGTGGGAGTTATCCAGGTATTTCTCATTTATTATTCATTGAAAGCTCACAAATTCTGTCCATATCCCCCATGAAGCAGCTTCTGTATGAAAGTCCAATCATTATAAATTTCATTATGCAAAACAGAATACATATATTAATTTTGAGATGGGAGAGTGTGTACTGTATTCATTCTTCTTTGGTAGAAATTTTGCCATAACCACTGAACTACATGTATATATATTTATATATATATTCATATTTAAACATTTATCTATACAGGATCTAAGATTCCATTGTCATGAATTTAGATGTGTTTATATTCATGAAGTGATAGATACTGTAGAAGTACTTTTTTTTCTGTGTGGTACATGTATTAATTTACACTATGAACACGATCACTAATTTTCCAAAGAAATTGGTCCCAGCGTACAATCTAAGGCATATAGAGGCAATTGATCTAAGAAATCCAAGTAATTTTCTACCTGCTTATTGAACAGAGTTTGTGATTCCGTGGAATTATGACCACATGGAAAAAGTACATTTACAATATTTTAATGTACTGAGTTGGCATTTTACTTGCAAAGCTTCTTTCTCATTTATCTATTAATTACTGTAAAATTACTAATTTTTTTGGGGGGGGTGGGGGGTGGGGGGGTGTTAGTTTTTGTTGTCTCGAGGTATGAAGAGACCCACAAATTCATGTCCACCATGAAATGTAAAATGTCATATATACATAACTACTCAATAATTCTTCATCCTTGAAATCAAATCCCCATGAACCTATAGTTTTTCTTCAAACCACGAAAATTTGGCCCCACGAAAATGTGATTTTACTAGTATATGCTTTAAGAGTGTCAAACAAATTAAGGTTAACTTTTTGAAGCTCAGGATTATCAAGTGAGGTTTGTGAAATGAATCTTTTATCTTTAAAAATACTCATACAATGAGAGATAAGGAAGAAGATAAAAGGCTGGAGAAAAAAAAAGGTTATTTTAAAGCATTAGTTGACTACTTTACTAAACTTAATATTTTTACACAGGTGCCAGGCTGCTCAAATAGAATTTCTATGATATTTTCTATTTTTTTTTTTAATTTTTTAGATATTTTAGATATTTTCTAAAGGAGAAGGAAACTTAGAATTGATAAAGATCAAAACATACGGAAACTTAGAATTGATAAAAGTGGAAACTTACGGAAGTTAAATTTGTCATACTGTTAAAAAAAGATAAAGCATTTTTACTGTTTTTTTATGTACTTGTCTTAAAACACATGTAAAAGCATGCAAAGTGTTTGTTATAGTCATTACGGTCATGTAGACTTACAAATGTGGTTTTAATTTCATCATAAGCGGATTTCTATCAAAAAATTCTTGAAACATATGGTGCAGATTTTAACTTAATAGTGGTTAAAGCAGGGTATTTCTAATTATGTCAAATACAATTCATTTAATGTCTTTAAATCAACAGAAAGGGGTTGGGTCTCCTTGCAGAAGTAATGGTAGATTTTAAAGATTGTCTTCACAATAAATGGCTTATTGTTTATGGAAGAGCATGTAGCTATTTTTTTGAAAGAGGTATCTGCAATATCTTATCTAGTCCCTCCATTTAAATAGGGAGGTCAGCAGGATGTAGATTAGCTCTGACCCTCAACAGGTGAACAGATAATGCACCTCTGAACAGGCTGTTAGTTTCCACATTCCCCAAACTGTGTGTTTGTTTTAACTATCAGATACAGCATCTCTTCTGTAATCTGTATGTACATCAAGATTATGGAGGGTAGCTAATTAATGAAAGGTCATCTGTCATTTATCAAGGTCACTATAAATAATGTATGTTAGGGAGTTGAAGTCAAAATATATTGGCCAATAGGTCACTCACTTTTTGTAAGATTTCAGAAAAATTCTGTTTTGAAAAATTCGAACAAAATATGCTTATGTTTTTTTTTGTACTAGTCAATTTTTGGTTCTTTGTTGATGAAAGGAAGAAACTGTAGCAAAAATTCGATATAAAGTGAGATCAAAGGTCAAAGGTGATAAGGGCACCTTAAAATCTCTTGAAGTATTTAATGTGATGTTTCATCTCAATGCTGCATTGATAAACACATCAAAACAATGTGTGTTACTTGCCAAGAAAAAAAATAATTTGGTCAAGGTTTCTTCATAATGAAGAATAAATGCCAGAAGCATGCATGCATCTTGTTAGGGCCTTAATAGATAAACAAAAAACATAGAGCTCTTTCTTTATATGCATGTAGTACAAATTTAATTAATTAAGAAAATGCATTCTTTAATCAAGAAATGATGAAAATGTTGTGTAGGGTGAATCTTGCAATGGTTTAACCAAGGAATACAAGAATTGTAACAGTGGTTAAACAGTAGACAGGCGCGTAGCTGCCTATATGCAAATACGCAAGTGCGTACACATCATTTTTCAAACAAATAAACCATTGGGGGAGAGAGAGAGAGAGAGAGGTTCTATGAAAAAAATCTCATAACAATCCAACAAGTATTCGTGTTTCGCATTATTTTGTGTAAAACTGTTTCAATTTGAATTTATATTATTATGACTGTATAATAAAATTTGAAATCATTTATTAAATCATTGCTAAATCCCAATAAACTATTCATTAATTTGTAATTGTTCTTTGATACATTTATATATTGTTTTGAAAAGATTATGAGATCAAACACATCGCTGAATGCTATGATCTACTAGTATATATTTTTTGTTTAATAATTAACATTTAGTATACCCGTTTTTGAACGCTGAAAAAAGGGTTAGTATATGATAGCAATATTGTTTAAATATTAAACCTAAACTACATGTACAATAAGTTTCCATGGAAATTTTAAATTGGTGTTAAAAAAATTAACATTACTATGAGTATGTCTTTTTTTTTGTCTTTTTTGGTTTTTTTTGTTTTTGTTAACAAAAGCTATTTGGCATAATTTTTATTTTGCAAGAAAATGAATGAAATATTTGGTAAAACTCCGGGGCTTCTGGGCCCTCACCAGCAGACACATAGTTTAGGGGGGGGGGCAGGGGGGGCCTGCCCCCCCCCCATTTCAAAACCTAACCTTTTACCATTGAAAATGTTCATTGAAAGGGTGATTCCCCCCTTTTTTGTTGAAGCATAGTTAAACCATGGTAATCTGGTAAAGTATTAATAAAATTTTAATTTGTGAAAGTTAGAACCCCCCCCCCCCCCCCCCCGTGGTTCTCTGCATGCACTTCACTTCCATTCTGGCTATGCGCCTGGTAGACATTTTTCCTGTATGATCAATTTTATCATCAAGAAAATTGTTAGAATTCAGTGAAGTTAATGCAAAGCCACCCTCTTATGTAATTGGGAAGCTATCAGTTACAAATCTCAGGGTTTGTTTTGGTGTCTAGACAAATGGAAAGAATTTCTATACTTTACTAAAGTACATTTAGCCATAAAGTTGGGTACAGTTTACAGGGAATTGAATAATTAGGAGATAGAATCAAAGGGTACATCCAATCAGAAAAATGTATGGCTTTAGTGAATTAATATTACTTGAATTGATAAACACTGCATGGCTAGAAACAGGACTCCGTAAAGAATTATTTTTTCAAAAAAAAAAAGTAAATGCAATTTTTTTTGGGTTGAATTTTGCATATACATGTATAACATTGAATTTATAATTATACTGTCTGCATGCAGATCTTTAAATTTGCAATGAATAAAAGAAACAAAGCAACTACATGTTCAATTTAAAACTGTCTATTTAGAAGCATCAAGACACTTTTACATTGATAATTGCACAACAATTATCATTTTTTTAAGAAAAAAAAAGATCACTTAAAAGTTTTAATTTGACATTTCTGAATTCTTTTGTACAATCTCAAGTATTAACTTGGTATCTTATTATTTTTTGTTCCGAGAATTAACCTGTGATAAATGAAAATATGGTTGTTTTTCAGTTGATAATAGACAGTCCGGTGAGTCCCGCCACCAGTATAGCCCCTCTTGTGTTTGTTGTATCTGTCACAGCCATCAAACAGGTGAGTTCAGTCACTAATGCAAGCTTAATTTTTAAGGTCCCCAGCGGATATGGAAGCACCCCCTGGTGTTTGTAGTTCTCTGTGGTAATAACCAGAATAGCACCAGTAATGTTTGTAGTCTCTGTGGCAGTAACCATCATAGTCCCACTAGTGTTAGAGTCTCTGTAGCAGTAATTAGCTAAGCCCAACAAGTGTTTGAGTCTCTGTAGCAGTAACCAGCTCAGCCCCACTAGCATTTTGTAGTCTCTGTAGCAGGGGCCATACAGTATACAGTAATTCAAAGTAATGTTACAAAAACAAAAAAATAAAAAATTTCTCAACAATATATTGACAAATAGACAATTTCTTCAGAGATCAAGACAAATTATAAAATACAATTATTGGAAAGATTTTGAAACATCAGGCCACTGGAAGGGAGATGCTAGTCTTAAAATTTCTCTAAGAAATTATTTAACAGTGTAGTTAAAAACCATATTTTATTTGTAAATTTCTATATGTAGGAAGTTTCATACAGAAAAAAAGAATATCAAATAGGATGTAGAAACAAGTTACATAAGTTATACTAAAATGTCTATTTGTTAGTCCTTTTATAATATAGGAGTGTAATTATGATTCAAGGCCACAATCACCCTCTGACACTCCTACGTGTATAAATAAAATGTCTCCTTTATTGCTTGTCATGGAGGAATTTTATTTACAATCTAATCTAACATTAGCTATAAGACTTATAAAAAAGAACTAATTTTGAAATTAGAGTGATTTTGTCAACTTCTTGCTAAATTGCTTTATCCTGAAGGGAAGAGTAATATCTTTCTGAACTTTTAAATTGTTGTCAGTTTAGTCCAAGAATCTTTTTAAATTGATAGTTAACTGTGAGAAAGCCTGATTGACCCCAAAACTCCAGTATTGACCTGTTTTTCATTTATAGCTATAAGGCTATATACAATAAAAATGACACTTAGTATTTACTTTTTCATATTAAATGTCAGACATATTTAGAAAATACATGTAGTATATAGATATAAATGTAATTTTTTACGTGCTGTAATTAACTTCTTGTCTACACCCTTTTGTATATCGTAAACACAACATCTGTTTTCTATGTATTTATTTACAACAGACAGAAAGAAGAATTCAAATCGTATCAATTTTGTTTATGTTGATGCTGTCTTTTTTTTGGGTTAGGTGTAAACATCTGTTTTTGCTAAAGAGAGCTATAGATCTGTGATCAACATATTCTTGTTAGAAGTTGATTTATAAAAACCTGGTACAGTTTTTTTTGTTAATTTTCCTCAGTCTTGATTCACAGTCATCCCCCCCTTTTTTTTTCTTTTAAATGCTGCATTCTGGTTATTTTTGAAATCAAATAAAGCATCTTCATGCTTTAAATATTTTAGGTACATGTGTTGCAATGATTTACCTATTTTTAAGTAGAAATGAGCACTTGCTCACTAAAATGGAATTTTTCATTTATTAGGACATTTTAAAAAAAAAATAGAGACTAGAATTCAAGCAATTTTATAATACTTAACAGGACAAAACAGTTTTTGAAGACAAAATATTTTTATGAAGGAAACTGTGTGGATTAATCAGTTTGAAAGATTTCCGTCTTAGCTGGGGGCTCATTCCAAATTAAGTCAGTTATAAGCAATGAAAAAAAGTAAGAAGTAACCAGTAAATAACCAGACACTTAGTAATAAGTTACCAAAAAATAACTAATGAGTAATTAAAAAAAGAAAAGAAATTAAAATAGAAACCAAAATAAGTAAGTAAATAAGTAAATAACCAATATGTAAATTATAGGTATACCCCCCCCCCCCCCCCCCACACACACACACACACACACATACACAAAGAAAGTAAAATAAGAAACCTGTAATAATTAAGTTATAAGTATAAAAAAAATACTAATAAGTGATCAAAAAAGAAATTAATTGAGGAGTCAAGAAATAAAATAAGTAACCAAAATTTAAAAAAAAAAAAAAAATTCGATGAGAAAAAGTAAGTAATAGGTAACAAAAAAGGTAATAAGTAATGTCGACAGTACCAAAAAAAGTAAGTACTGTTGAAGCACAAATTACTGTTGAAGCACAAATTTTCATGGGGATAAAATTTCATTGTTTTGTCATCTAAGAAGGTTTCATGGGCATTACATTTCGTTGTTTCAAGAGGTAACAAAAAAGGTAATAAGTAATGTCGAAAGTACCAAAAAAAGTAAGTACTGTTGAAGCACAAATTACTGTTGAAGCACAAATTTTCGTGGGGATAAAATTTCGTTGTTTTGTCATCTAAGAAGGTTTCATGGGCATTGCATTTCGTTGTTTCAAGAGTAACCCAATTCCATATATAGGCACATAAAATTTTCGTGTGAGATTTACATGTAATTTTGTTGGCAATTGTTAACAAAGAAATAAACGAAATCAAATCCCCAACGAATATTTCTGCTTTTACAGTAATAATTAACCAAAAAAGCATTAAGTAATAAGTAAACTTAAACAAAATGAGATTGAAATATTCTTGAAAATCTAACATGCAAAAAGTCTATAGACAGTCAGCTTATTAAAGACACATGTGATGATGTTTTAAAAGTTAATTTGAAAATCCTTCATGCAAGGCCTGCACCTCCATGATTTTTTTGGTCAATTATGCTGTGGATGGCCCCAACTATGCAATTAAATATTGTCTGGCTACATCTTGAAAAAACATTCTCAGGTGTCTAGAAAGTTATACATTTCTTTTAATCAACAAAGAGATTCCTTTCTATGCCTGACTTGAAATTTGCTTATCCATGAAGAGAAAGTTGTTCCTATTGTCTCACTTACACTTTCCCAGACATTTTGGTTATTAAATTAGATAGGTACCAAGGGTAATATTAAGTGATAGATTAAAAGATATAAAAGCTGAAACAGATTGAAATTAAAAAAATTGTTTATTATTTCCATAGACGAAAAATAAAAGACAGACTTAATAGTACATGCCAACTTATAAGTCATTTTTATCAATAACTGCAGAAAATTAAAGTTTATTTACTAGTATGGAATTGAAATTTATAGATATAGAACTTCTTGTATTTTTACACTCTAAATTTTTGGTCTGTGAATTGCTGATAAATTGAGTTTTTGTCTTATAAAGGGTTATGAGGACTGGCTGCGACATAAAGCAGATAATGAGGTCAACAATAGAAAAGCGTTCATTGTTCACAACGGCAAGCTCACTCAAGTTAAGGCACAGAACATCAAAGTAAGTCAAATTATACTTACATACAAGATATCTGGGCTGCGTTCAAGATCATAGCAGCTAGCCTAGCTGCTAAGGTAGATATCATCTAGGTCATACTGAATGCACTGTATGAATTAATTATTGTTATTGCTAGGCTAGCATATGGTTCAAGATCATAATGGCCACATAGCCACTACACTCTTGAATGCAGCCCAGATTGATCAAGAATTGTTAAAAAATTCTTAGCAACCGAACTTTCCTGGATGCTTTTTATAGAAATATACATGCTGTTTACCCAAATCTGGTTCAATCTTCATGGAATAAAAGCCCAAGATTAATGTTCTAAAGCATTCCTTCTACGAAGTGGTAATTTCAAATAGAATCTTTCTGGTATTTGTTTTCTCTGAAAAAATAGATAATTGCTATATGTTGTTCAGGTTCTTAGATGATGAAAACTAATATGTAAACGTACACCACAATTATCTTAAGGTTGAAGTCCTCATAATGACTGAATGTATTTCCACTGTGATGAAGAAAGACAATTAAGTGTTAACTTGGGCAGTGACCTTCAAACAACACAGTACAGAGGCCCTATATTTGTTCAAGGTCAAGGCCAGGTTATAAAGTCAGGATCAAGCTTTATTATCGAAATTTAAGATGAGGAGAACGTTTTTTTTTCTGAAGATAAGCTGTCTAAAAACAGCTTGCAAAATTTTTGAGTGCCCAAAATTTTATGTTTGTATTTGCTTTAATTGATTGCTCTGTGCAATTTTTTTTCAAAAATAGTATTCTATGAAAATTAAATAATTATAATCAATGTACAAGAAATTTATTTTCTAAACAGGTGGGAGACATAGTGAAAGTGAAACTAAATCAAGGTTTTCCATGTGATTTGGTAATGCTATCCTCCTATGATCCAGAGGGGAAGTGTTATGTCCAAACAGCTAACTTAGATGGAGAGACCAATCTTAAGGTAACTGACAGGGGAGATAAATCTGCAAAAAAAAAAAAAAGCATAAATTTTATTGTTATTTTGGTTCGAGGGGTCAGCAAAATGCATTTCAGTAAAAGGTTGGAAATGTTAGCCTTTTTTAAATGTAGGTTTAAGTAGGTAACAATTTCTAAAGGTATAACAATAATTTTTTATCTCCTTTAATTGTTTCTTTCCATCTGATATTAGAATTAAAACTTTTTTTTAGACCCACTTTTGTGTTCCTGAGACCAGAGAGTTCCAGATGGAGAGTGATTTTAATGGTCTCTGTGCCACCATTGAGTGCCAGCAGCCTATTGCAGATCTCTATAAATTTGTTGGTCGTATAACTATCTTCAATAATAATTCAGAGAGTGTTCTGAAATCTTTGGGACCAGAAAATATCTTACTCAGGGGAGCCCGACTCAAAAATACACCTTTTATTTATGGTAATTACATCTTTGAAAAAAAATTTACATGTAAATCAATATTTTGAACTCGAAAGAAATGCATATTCAAATCTCTCAGTTATGAAAAAATACACATGCATAAGCATTTAAATTGAATTACTAAAATTATTAGGTACTATTATGTATTATTGTTGATGAAATGTGAAGATAACAAACAGTGATCATTCTCAAAAAGTCCATTTGAACAATACAAATTATGAGCAGTGCCAACATGGACCTATGATAACAGAGATTGGATCAAGTGCAATGGAGAAGTAAGCATCCCTTGCAGAAGGGTCAAACCTGTAGTGTACTTCTTGTTGTGATCGGGTAAACAGAAAAAAAACTGTAGTCAATTCAGTGTGAAAACAATGGCCTAATAATTTACATGAAAGATTTCAGTTAACTTTTGATCCAACAGCAGATTGTATTTGCAAACAGTGTCTTTTTATTGACCATAAAATTTGTGAAATGTCGACTTAGAACAAGATTGTTGATATCCTTGTATCATTAACTCATTTGTCAAGAGCCTGTCTCATTCTAGAAATTGTTTGTATGTAGAATATCCTCTTGCATATTGAATCATCTGGAAGACATATACTTTATTTAACAGCATCGTGTTTTTTTTAAATTCAGAAATACACTGTATATTTATCTTAGGAAAAAATGTGCTAAGAAAAAAATGTGCGAAGTACCTCAAGTTCTATGTAGAAAATCATTGTATGCTATCTGACAATTAGTAATATTTTATGAGATATGCCCTGGATATCTAATATGTAAAGAAAAAAAAAATGATTTTAATTTTCTTTTTTTATTTAGGTTGTGCAATTTACACAGGTCCAGATACCAAAATGGCTTTGAATTCCAAAGCTAAAATAACCAAATTTTCTAGAGTTGAAAGGTATTTATAATCAAAAGTTTTCAAAAGTTGGGGATTTGTTCATTAAAACATGTGAAACATACTCACAAGTTTCTGACAGGTAAAAAGTAACTGTTTGAAACGGATTTTTTTGTTTTTGTTTAGGGGTATGAATAATTACCTAATCATATTCCTAGTGATATTATTATTAGAAGCACTAGTGAGTACGGTTTTAGCATACTGGTATATGAACCAAGACAAGATTGGGGACCCCTGGTATATACCTGGAGCCAAACAAAGCCTAAATGTAAGTGTGAAGTTTTTCTTTGGAATAAAATATGGTTTTCTGACTAAGTGTGTAATATTAAATGTGTGGCATTATTATGATGGCATGAGGTTGTTAAAAGTCTGTGTGTACAGAGCATTGTTTTTCTTGTCTTGATATTTTACAGGCTAAAAATGTGATATCAGATTTCCTGTCCTTCATGATCCTATACAACTATATCATTCCTATTTCTTTGTATGTAACTGTAGGTAAGTAAAGTCAGACTGGCAAATGATTCTTTTCTGTTATGTAATTGAAATGTTTCAAAGATAAATGATTAATTTTATAACTTGTGTAATAAGAATTTGTGTTGGATAGCACACATTAAAGAGAATGTTTGACTCTGATAAGAAATTTCTGATTTTAGAAAAATTGCACTGTGTAGTTGGAAACCCCTTTTCTGGGACGGTCTTATAGTTTTTAATTTTCATGGAAGGCAGGTGCTTTGTACAGTATATTTCCTTTTATTTATAGAAGTACAGAAGTTTGTGGGCTCCCTGTTTTTGCAGTGGGACTTGGAGATGTATGATGAAGACTCAGACTCAGCCACTCAGGCTAATACCTCTGACCTTAATGAAGAGCTCGGACAGGTGAGTAGACTCATAAGGCTAACTATCATCAATTGTTGAAGGGGGCTTATATTACATGTGACATGATCCATTAATGTGTATATTACATGGTGAAATATTGTTGGAATTAAGAAGATATTTACATTAGAGACTAAAATATTAACATGTACTACTTGTGAAAATGCCTGCCAGTTATTTCATAACTCTCTAAGTTCAAGCTTTTAATTCCCCATTTTACTTGGCATAATATACCCCTTTTGCTTATCTGTGAGACACACAGATTAACAAATCTTTCAAAGCATTTATCTACCGGTAGAAGGAATAATGAAAGCTTACACAAATATACCTGTTAATTTCAAATTTTGCAACTGTGAGGAAATATCATAATATGGATAAGTGATAAGTACAATATCTTTGCTTTTTTTTTTTAGGTTGAGTACTTGTTTACTGATAAGACAGGCACTCTAACGGAGAATGATATGCAGTTCCGACAGTGTTCAATCAATGCAATTAAATATGAAGAAGTCGGAGGGCATTTACATGAAATGGCTACTCAAGGAGGACAGAGCACACCTGTTCTTCGACTTACAGTATGGCAATTAAAAATCTTACTTAATAATTTATGGTTAGATTTAAGAATTATTGGTAGTAAGAATTGATCAATATATGATAGATGGTCATTGACATATATTGCTGTTGGTATATTTGTATCTTGATTTTTTTTTTTCTGAAGCTTGAATCTTAATATATTTCATGCAGAAGAAAAAATTTAAAATCTTATAAAAAATGGACACCCTACTGAATGCTATGTCATCTTTTGACAGCCCGAGATAGAGGAATTTCTGGAGTTACTTGCCCTTTGTCACACTGTAAGGGTGGACCACCATGAGGCCACACAGACGGGGGCATCGGCCCTCTATAGTCACACAGGGATGGAGTATGAATATCAGTCTTCCTCTCCTGATGAGAAAGCTTTTGTGGAGGCCTGTTGCAGGTAAAAAAAAAAGATTGTTTTTTTTTTCATTTGTATAGATTTATACATATGTTGGTACATATGTATACGTTCAAGTAAGTATGAAGTTTTGATAAACTGAATTATTTTAGTCCTTGCTTATTCATTAAAGTCTTATTTTTGGCAACAAAAAGAAATTAAAAAAAACAATTTGCTTCATTTGTGCACATTTTGAAAAAAAAAATTCAATTCTCTATAAACATTATGTCTTTATTTGCAGGTATGGGGTTGTGTTCCATGGTACAAGAGATGACCATTTGGAGGTAACATTCCATGGGGAGATGAGGCGATACAAACTGCTTCATGTTCTGGAGTTTGACGCCACAAGGAAGAGGATGAGTGTCATTGTCCAGAGAGAAAATGGTATCTTTGTCTAGTCTTTACTAGATTTAGCAGTGATTGTTAAATGGGATAATTGAAGCAATGTTTCATCAAATTAGCAAATATCAAAGTCACTCTTGAAAAGTTGTTATTTAAACAGTTGACTTTATATTACTTATACAAAAATGTTTTTCTTTTGGATTATACATGAAATACTGACTTCATTTTTTTTAATTGCCCCGTAATGTGCTTCAAAAAATTACAAAGGTAGCACATTCAGTGTTTTGAAGAAAACTTGTTTGTGTGTGTGCATATGTGGAGATTCCATTAAACATACTGTGAAAAAAAAATCTTTGTACTGTAGAAGGCACTTACTTTTTTTTTTTTGACAGATGAAATTGTGCTATTGTGTAAAGGGGCTGAGACGGCAGTCCTAAAGCTGGGAATATCAGGGGAGATTGAAAAGACCAATCAACACATACATGACTATGCTGTGGTGAGTACACAATAAACATAAAAAACTTTACAAGTATCTTTAGACCTGTGTTTTAGATGTGCATTTATACCACAATGAACAATGCATCAAATCAATGCAAACTTTTGATAAAATAATGGACCTTGTACTAGAAACATAAATTTCTATGTGGGTTGCACATGTTTTATACCAATTAACACATGTAGTTTGAGAAGGTTTAGTGAATTTCTTTAAAGAATTTTCTCATCCTGTTCATATCAGTTTATCAACCATTTTTTCTCTTCAGTTTTGTTTTTTTAAGTTTTGTAGGAAACCTTTTTTAATAACTTAAAAAAGTTTCATTCAGTTTAGAATTTCTAAAATTTTGCAGCTTGGTCTAAGAACATTGGCCATAGGGAAAAGGGTTTTTACACCAAAAGAATATGAAAAGGTGGATACCATATTGACTGAGGCTAGGAATGCAATGGATAAACGAGAAGAAAAGGTGAGCAATATTTCATTGACACTGAAGTTATTCCATGTATATGTAAATAATAAATACTACTTGTATGAATATCTGGAACAAAGACCAGTTTATGTGAAAGGTTAAGATATACACTGTAAAACTTTTCAGGTAGAATATTTTAGCATAATGAATTTACCTATAAGATGAAGCAACTGATTTCCAGTGTATTTGTGTATTTATTTGATGAGACTTGTTTGTTTTCCTAGTTGGAGGAAGCTTTCCAGGCTATAGAGAGAGACCTCCACATACTGGGCGCCACCGCTGTGGAAGACAGACTTCAGGATGGTGTCCCAGAAACCATCACCACTCTACGCAGAGCTGGCATAAAGGTAGTATAGACGCCAGTGTAATTAGGATTTTGGAAAACAGTGTACACAGGGTAGGGTAATGACTAAAGCTCACTGGGTAGAACAAGAAATAGTGTATACATGGTAGTATGTAGAACATGTACTCATGGTAGAGCAGAGACTACGGCATGAGTATTAGAGGTGTAACAATACAGCGAATACATCGATCATATTGATCGCAACGTCTCACGATACGCATATCGTATCGTCATGTATGTATCATGATACAGTACAAGTTAATTTTAATTGTCTTATTTGAAAACTCTACAATCTAACAAATTTTAATGTTACAAAATGATTGAAAAAAACAAGGTAGCAATAAAAAAATGCAATGCTAAGACTACAAGTCAACCTATAAATAACTTTGGTTAGGGGTATCAAGACATTCCTTTTATATTTTCTATAATTGTGGAAAATTATAAATGTAAAGATATTAGTTAATTTAATTGTTGACAGCTGTATCATGATACATGTATCGCATGACTGTATCGTGATACGTATTGTTAGGTAGCTGGCAATACTCAGGTCTAATGAATATAGTACAGAGTGCGCTATACTTAGGATGGATATTTACAAGATTATACAGAAGGGTTTAGAGACTGATATACACAGATAGTGAAGAGACCAGTTTAGAGGGTAGTGTAAAGAAGACATGATAAGTCAACATAGATTTATGTAGAGACTACTTTATGTAGAGACTGTGAGTTTAAGTAGAGACCAGTTTATGTAGAGACTTGTTTATACAGCTTTGTGTAGGGAACAGTGAATACAGGTTATTGTAAAGATTAGCCTACTTAGGTATTGTAGAGACTAGTTTATATAGTCTAGAGGACACACTAGGTTCCGACTTTACTTTTAAAGCTTACTGAATAAATATATTGTGGTACAGATTGTGCAGCATCATTTCAGACACAGATACTTTGTGTGTATATTGAAGGTTTGGGTGTTAACTGGTGACAAGGAAGAAACTGCAGTCAACATCAGTTACTCTGCTGGCCACATTCATGATGGAATGGAGGAACTACGACTGACAAAAGCCACGTGTACTGATCACACAACATGTGGGGAGGAGATCACAAGAAATATCCACAGGTATTTTAAAAAGCCTGTATATTAAAGTATTAAAATATTAACTGCACAGTAGGGAAATGGGAGAATTTGAGGTATCTTATCTGTAGTATAGGATGAATGAGACAGCTAGTATAGAGTAAAACACAGGTACAGTGAACATACTTATAATGAATTCATGCTTACAGCAAAGTGATTTTCATTCCCCATAGTTTTCAAACGTATTTAAGGAACGTTTTTCAGTTTTGTATGAGTTATTGGTGTGTAAACCACACAGCATATTTCATGAAGTGCGCTACACACTAATAATTCACACTAAACTTAAAAACATTCCTTATATTTACATTTTACATGTTTAAAAGCACCAAAAATGTACTCAGTGCTTGAATTTCTCACTGCCCTAAATTGTTACATTTTTTTCAACATATCTGTAGCCTCATTGTGATGTCACTTTAGCGCAAATTTCTCCGTGTATATTTTTACGCATGAGTATATAAAAAAATGGCATTCAAATCGATTTCTTAGTTTGTTAAGTAGAAAAACACAATGTTAATATTACATGTATAAATATTTCAGATATATATTTAATTACTTTTATAACAAATAATATTGTTAGTCCTTGGTATTTCCATATAAGCCTGTTTTACCATAATAGAAAGAAATAATTTATTATTTGGCTCTGATATTTGAGATGAAAAATCTTTTGTGCGTCATTTCAAAGAAATGTCATAAAAAGAAATTTTTGTACTGTTGAGGATGCTGAAATATATACATGTACATCTAAATTTATTATTTGACCTTTTCAGATGTCAAGTTCTGAATTCCTCCAATCAGCAATTTGTGTTGATCGTAGATGGCTTCAGTCTGACCTTTGCCCTTGGAGAGCATAGTGAAGTGTTCCGAGAACTCTGTCAAATGTGTGGTGCAGTTTTATGCTGTAGAATGTCTCCATTACAGAAAGCTGAGGTAATTGAGATTGTAGCTTAGGATGCAAACCAATTTATGATTTAGAGTGATGTTTTATTCACAGAAACATTTTATATAATAATATATATATAGTAAAAAATTAATTACTCATTATATCTACATGTATCTGCATTCATTTATCATATCATATGCTGGGGAACTCTTGCCACATTACTTTTGCCCAAATATTTTAGCAAAGTGTTTTCTTTATTTTAAATTTGCCAAAGCCATAGATTACTGTGAAAGCTCATATTTGAAAAATTACATGTTTTGTATATATGTAGATAATCTCCATTCAAGATTAACCATGTTGGATAGGAAGCAAAATGAGGTTGAAAATATCCCAATATGCAAGCATTACAATGTCTGGAGTTTACACTAGATTGAGAGTAGTAAATTATAATAAAGATTAAACTGGTACATGTACATGTAAATTGAAAGCACTTCTCTAGGATCTACATCACCAGTTGTGAATGGAATCTAGAACATGCACTGCAACAGTGTGCTGAATGAATATTTATGACAGTGGGTTGATTGTATATTTATGACAGTGGGTTGAATGTATCTTTATGATGGTGTGTTTAATGTATATTTATGACAGATGTCTCTGTTTTATCTAGGTTGTGAAGCTGATGAAGATTGCCAAGCACACCCCAGTGACGGCAGCCATTGGAGATGGTGCTAATGATGTCAGCATGATTCAGGAGGCCCATGTCGGATTAGGTATTGTATGATTCAGGAGGCCCATATAGGATTAGGTATTGTACATGTACCTCTGTTACAATTCATAGAGGAGTCATGAAAATGAGTAATATTCACTTTGATTCAATTTTGGCCAAATTTTATAAACACACTTTGTTACTTTTAAGTCCCATGTTTTCAATTCTGGCATAAAGTAGCATTTGATTGAAATATAAAATAAATACAGTCAGACTTCAATTTTTGAGTAAAGCATGACTATTATAAAACACTGAATTAGCTAAGAGTTCAAGATATTGAAGTTCAGATTTCTATTTGATAAGGTCTTGATGGCCGATTAACTATGACATACCCCATTATTCAACAAATCATTGTTTTAAGCACTTAATATAATAAAAATCTTAAATTTTATGAAGCTTTACAAAAAAAAATGTTTATGAAAAAAGTTGTGTCGAAATTTGTGAATAATTAAAAAATTTCACTATAATTGCTAACTCTACTTCTGTTTCTAGGAATCATGGGAAAAGAAGGAAGACAGGCTGTTCGTAACAGCGACTATGCATTTGCCAAGTTCCGGTTTCTACAACGACTTCTTCTCGTCCATGGCCATTATTTTTACTACCGACTTGCAACTCTAGTCCAATATTTCTTTTATAAAGTAAGCTAGCTCTCATTCCGGTTAATTTACCTTTATGCATCATCAAGCCAATATGAAGCATTCAGATCTTTTTTTAAATTTTCATGTTACAAATTAGACAACTACTGTGGAATCATCATTGTCTGTGGGGGACAAATGTTCGTGGATTTCTTGGTTCACCCTCTCCTGAACTTTCATGAATTTACATCCTTCTGAATAAATATCTTATTGGCTCCTAAGATAATTTACCATTTTTATGTATAATTATTTTTTTTTTTGTAGAATGTAGCCTTTATCACCATGCAGTTATTCTTTGCTTTTTATTCATCATTTTCACAACAGGTTGGTTCTGAGTAATTATGTCATGATTTTTTTTTTTTTTTGGATATAAAAAATTAAATGCAATTCTGATCTTGGAGAGCATTTCAGTTGAGGTGTATTTTCACAATTTTAGAGTTTCTCATTGATTGCATCTGACATTGTTTTATTATAAGACTAGTACATGTACATGTAGTAATATATTTATATTTTTGATTTTTTTTAATTTCACAGTCCCTGCTGGCGAGTTTTCATCTCATGTTTTATAACATCACCATGACTTCACTGCCAATCTTCATCTACAGCCTGTTTGAGCAGCACATATCACAACGAGATCTCATTGAAAAACCTCACTTATACAAGTAAGCTCAAAGATTTAAAAAACCCACTCACACAAGTGTAAGCTCAATGACTGGAAAAACTCACACAAGTAATAACTCAAAGATTTAAAAAAAAAAAACTCAACTGTACAAGTAATTTCAAAGATTTAAAAAACCAACTCATACAAGTATAAGTTCAAAGACTGGAAAAACTTGTACAAGTAAAGCTTAAAGAAAAAATCTCTCTATACAAGTAGGCTCAACAATAAAAATTACACTTGTACAAGTAAGGCTCAAAGAATAAAAAAAAAATCATGTATACAAATACTGTAGATTTCTTATTTTTCGTGGGTACTTATTATTGCGAAATGGCACTTTAACGTCAAATTGCGAGAACAATCATTTGTGAGTGACCAGTCGATGAAGAGTTTGAAAGTTTCCCATGATTTTATAGAAAGTGTAAATAATTCTGTACTGTAGTTCAAATAATTCTGCACTGTAGTTCAACTTCAGTCTTTAATATTAACATTCTTTAACGGGACTGAACTCTTTAATGTTATGATTTTTGTTTCATTTCAGAGAAATTACAAAAAATAGAATGTTAAACAAGAGAAATTTCCTTAAATGGAATGCATTAGGTTTGTATATTGAAAAATCCAATTCTTATTTGCTAAATAAATCATTTTCTTGATTTAAAGGTCCAACACTGTATTTCAGGTAATAATTTCTTTCATTTTTTTTAAAAATTAAGTCAGAACTTACAGAACTAGTGAAAAGAAAGCAAAGTACAAACACATTTAAACTCTGAATAATTTTACAAAGAGTGTTTTTTTCTTCTTCAATTTCTACAGTGTAAAATCAGAAGGTAAAAATCTGACACTGAGATCCCTTCATTTAGTAACTGAAATCCAATTCTTCATTGATGTCAGATTCATGTATAAATTTTCCTGTACCTATAATCACAACATTTTAACTGGATGATTTGGAAAGTAAACTTGCACAAAATGTGAAAGTGTTCCTGCAAGAAAATATTCAAAACAGAAATCTAGTAACATGAGTGTGCCTAACATTTATTTTGATCTATAGTTCAAATAACTTACACCAGACCAATGCATGTTTCTATTTGATTTAAAAAAAATCTCATTTGCCCTTCTTTAGACTTTTTCACACATTTCTCCATTTTGGATGTAGACACATATTATTAACCTTATTTTGATCACATTTTTGGTCTGCCACAAATCACATAAAAACCCTATGGCTCGTGTATTGTTAACTTCCCATCATTTTTTAAAAGACCTGTTATGCATAAAAAGTATATAATAATCCTTAATTTACATAATGTGGAAGTCTTTAGAAAATGAAGTCTATGTTACCAATCAGGTAGATAAGAGGTATTGCAATTAATTTGAAAGGCTATTCAAACTCTAAATATAGATTTAAATAGTAATTTTATTACCAGATTTGCATGATTCCTTTTTTTCATGAATTCATGCAGTAGCTACATGTATATAAGATTTTACGTTGCTTGTTCATATTTTTGTTTTTCATTATGAAAAGTTATTGGTATAGGTTTAAAAATCAGATAGAGAAATTTTGTTACACTTACTATCAGCTATTTTGATTTCCTTTGTAGGATTATGGCATGTTTTTGTGTTTTTCTTTGGTGTTGTGTTTTTGTTTGGAAGCGATGTTCCATTGTGGCCAAATGGACAGGTAGGAAATATTTACTAGTCATTAGAAAACAATTAATGCAAGGATACTTACGCAACTAGTGAAGGAAAATGGGGAGAAAATCTAGTTGTTTGATTGTTACTTTAGTTCATTTGAAGTTGAAATAAGCTTATGCTACAGTGTTTGTCCAATGACTGGCATTCAAGTTTTAGTTTGGTGGCAGCTGGTATTTTCTAATAAGGTACATTATGTAACTCATAGCCCAACCTGAACCAGACTTGCATACATTTATATTCTAGGCACATTTTTATTCCAAGATTTAATCTTAAAACATTTTATTGGATAATGAATTTGGGACCTCATATGGATTTTGTAAGAATTTCAGTGAAGGAAATAAATCTGGTTAAAGTTTAATTACTACCAGAGATTTTGGATATTGTATCATTATAAAGATGTAATTAAAATATTTTATGAAATGATGTTGTATTTGTTGCAGGAAAACAGTTTTTTTTTTTTATATATATTTCCAATTCGACATAAGTATTGATGTTGTTCTAATATAAGACTGTTTTGTTTTGCAGATGATGGGTATTTGGAGTTTTGGCACAATAGCTTACACAGTCTGTGTTATTACAGTTAATCTAAAGGTATGAAATTAATGAAACCCTGATAATTTAGAAAAATGAACTTTATAAATCAGTATTTATTGAAGGTAAACAGAAATAGGGTTCATAGAAAAAATCGTAGGTCAGAACAGTGGCTTGAAGATAGATTTTGGCTGAAGTTTTTTAGCTCATTAAATGAAAACTGCATTTTGGCCGAGTAGGATCATTCATGATGGAGGGTTTAACTTTATAACTGTTTAAACTCGCAACAAGGTTGGGGGGGGTGGCTATAGTAATGCACTTTTGTGTGTGTGTGTTGGAGGATGGAGTTGGTGGGGTTGGGGGGGGGGGTGCATAATGGAAGTAGTAACATATTGGGATTGATGTGCTATTTTACGAGGGGATGCTTTGCTCTGCGGTGCCCTTTTTTTTTTAATCTTTAATCTATGGATATTTAATAAAAGTACAAAGAAGTTTAAGGAAAAAAAGTAGTAAATATTTAGTTTTTGAAAAAAGGAAAAGATTTGTGAAATTATAAATGAAATTAGAGTAAACAGAGTATAAATTTATTATTACAAATACATATTAATTGCTTTTATGTGTATTTTACAGTTGTGTTTAGAGACCTATTTCTGGCCTCTTCCTATGTTCATGGCTTATGTCATAACAGGTGTTGGCAACGTCAGCATGACTCTTGTCTACACAATGATTTTCTGGCCGTAAGTATTCACTAAGTTCTGCCTTAAATTTGTTTTAGTTACCATTCTCTTTCACTGAAAGATACAGCATACTGCTGATAAAGAATTGATCAATTTGCAATATTTGATGCCTGAAATTAGACTTATTTTCAGTTTTGAGGGTTTCTAAATGAATATTAGATCTTACTTTTTGAATTACAAGTACAGTATAACAATAACACATAACATGTCCAGAGAAAAAAATGTTGGAAGAATGTATAACTGCTCCATGCAAACATGCTTATTTTATCACATGCAGACCCCTGATACAAACCCTGCAGGATTATTATAAAGTGTACACCACTAGTCTCGGATGTGGGACAGTGTGGTTCTGTATAGTGGTGCTAGCAGTCATAGCTCTCTTTCCTGACATCATTATTCGAGTGGCTCGAGACACAGGCCAAAAGATCTCAGAGTCTACCAAGAGAAGGGTAGGTGAATATTGTATATGGCACTCCTATATTTGTTATTTGTAGTTGCTAGAGTGATATGTTATTGCATGGCACATAAATGTATATGGTATTTTTTTGGTAACATTCATTGTTATACCGGTAATTGATGGAAGAAAGATAGGAGTTGGTAATTGTATTGACAGTGAAACAAGGTTAAAGAGAATCTTCAGGAAAATTAAGCAAAATATTTCATAGCTTGTAGACTTAATGAAAAAAAATTGTTTCCTTACAAGCAGGTACTGTATTTCATAAGAGCATTTTCACTACAAAAATGTTTCTATGTACATCTATTTCACGTTGTAAGTTAAAAATTGAAGTTATCAAAAAAGTAAAAAAATTATATGTGTATTTCTGGGTAATATTTTACTAAACTAAAAAAAAAAAATCATGGATCTCTTTCTTACAGAAGATGTTCAATGTATGTTATCTAAGTTTGGATTAAAAAAAAAATTTGTAAGTTTTTTTTCGATAATTTGACCCTGTCACTTTCGCCTGATTGCGGTACATTGTAACAGTTAATTTTATGGCTGAGCATGACTTTTCCACAATACTAGTCACTTGAGGGAGTTTATTGTTCAAGGGCATTACTTCTAAGTTATAACCTGTGATGTTAATTGCATCTTTTAAGATTGATATATAATAATTCATCTATAATAGTATGATTACACTTTTAATGAATACATATTGGAAAACTAGCTATGACAGATGATCATAGAGAAGATTTTCTGTCATTATACCCATTGATTTTCCAGAGTATATCTACACGTACAACTGTATATATTTCTACATGTAATATTTACTCACACAACTTTTGGAATACTCTTTTTCTACCATGTATGTGTGTTTGTGTCTACCATGTATGTGTGTTTGTGTGTACACTATGTATATTCTCTACTAAAACCATAATATACATGCAACCACTCTGAAACTTGAAGAAGCCAACACCTCTATTTTTTATTTGGTACCCTACTTGTTCTTTTTTTTAAATCGAAACCCTTCCAAGTGGTTCATGTCTGTTTTGAATATATATGTAATACAGTTGAACTTCGTCATCTTGAACACTGATATCTTGAATACCAGGGATATGTTGAAGTGAGTTGGAAGTCCCAACCACTTCTTAAGTTTATGTTTTTACCATTGTTAACTTGAATCTTCAGGTTTCTCGAAGTTAAATCTTTATCCTGTCAAGTTTGAGATAACAAGGTTTGACTGTAATTAAATGTTAGTTTATTTCAATAAGCAAAGCAGAAGGCGGAGAACAAATCACACCATATGAAAAATAATTCAGATTAATTAATGGGACTCTTCATACAAAAAAAAAATAAATAAATAAAAAAAATAAAGAATGCTGGAAAATTAGTGATTTCACTGTAAATTGTAGACATACAAGACCTAATTTACTAGATTTAGACTGATGGAAATATGGGGCATATTAACACCTAAGAATTAATACAGTAAACTCTAACCCTAATACCCAAGTAAACTAGATCCAAGGAGCCTAAGTATGGTAAATTATAGAGGCAATGTGAGTAACATTATTTTGGTGGTAACTAATTGAAGGGTCTTGTATATAGTGCACCATTCATTTTCAATTTGACAGTATATGCATCTTGTGAAAGTTTTTAGACCTTTTCTATACGGATTGTAAAGAATTTGATCATTTTAAGATAAGATAACCTGATCAGTATACATGAAAGCTTGACTGAAAATTTAAAGGTAAATAAATCCTATTTCCAGACCACCCTTGATTCTTAAAAGTTCCAATGTGAGTGTCTGACTATCGCATAGAGCTTATACAGCAAGAGTTAGGCTTGAAATTCCATTTGACAGAAAAAATTAGATATAAATCACATTATCCTACATTTATAAAGCATCTACTAATATATATATATATATATATATATATATATATATATATATATATATATATATATATATATATATATATATATATATATATATACACCTTCCATTTACATTGGGCAATTATATCAAATTTGTGGATAGTTACCTAGGCAAATTCAAGTTTAACATCTTGTTGTATCGACTCTCTTCGACAAGGAGTAGTTAATTGCAGTGAATACATTACAATGTATGTTTCCTCCACTGCTTCATATTTACCAGCACTCCATGCAGCACATTTTCTTATTAACAGACAGAAATTAAGGTCATATCATAAACTTATTCCCCTTGACTTGGTAGGCGTTTTAGGCTGTCATTCGTATTTTTGTTAAATAGTTTTGTACCTGTAGTTGGTTGGTGGAATATGCTCCAAGAATACTTAAAAGAATTTAATATGCAAATGTATGTGAATTGATATTTCCCACCTTCTGACTGAGTTGAAATTGAAATATCTGTAGATGCATGAACACCAATATATTGTTTTGCAGCAATTTTTTTCATAATGTACAAATTAAGTAAATTCTTTGGAGGGTATTTAGTTAAACATTTTAACTTTCTATGTTATGGTTAATTGCTAGTCCCTTCCCCTTCTCTCCCTTGCCCATGAAACGCTAGACAATTTAATAAGTTTGGGGTTAAAATAGGTCCAATTACAAATTAGTTTGGGAGAGACAATGGCAGCAATCTAACTCAGGCTAGCATTGTGGCCCATGGGCCTGTTCTGTTTATGAAAAAAATCATTTGATTTCACTCTCATCAGTCTGAACATGAAGGGTTGTGCCAGTAGCATCAGCAATGTTAATCCTGCAAAATAAGTATACATGAATGTTCTGGAATCAAAGAATCTTATCATTAAACAAGCTTTATGGAATAAAGCAATTATTTGAAAGTTATAAAAGTTCAATTTAGATAAAGACACGTATCAATGTTATAAATGTCACGTATGCATTACAGTGGAAATGTTCATGGTTCATGTGTTTACCTTTCATCTTTGGTAAAAGAGTAAGTGTGGCATTATTTACCAGTTACAGTCTATTTATAGCCTATTCAGATAAGCTTATAATTATGGCACATACTAAACAAAAGCCATGCAAGTCACCAAAAATGTGAAATTCACTGTACAGACTGGCCTGTGCTTTTTGCAAACATTTTGGAAAAAGAAATTTTATTGTCTGAGCAAAAATACAGAATGCATATTGATAAATTGTCATAATCACCAAAGCTATATTGCTTTAAACCTGCTTGTTCTGTATAATATTTATATATAAATGAAAAGGTAGCAGTACTTTCAGTACTGAGCAGCATTGTGTGATTCATGTTTGATATTGAATTATTCAAGGAATATTATACATAAAGCCCAATTATATAATTTTTATAATATATATATATATATATATATATATATATATATATATATATATATATATATATATATATATATATATATATAAGCACATTTTTACAACAACTCTTAAACTAACGTAACTGCCCTAAGTGAAAAAATATTAATATAGAAAGCACAAAGAAATTCACTTTTATAAGGATACCCACTTCCGCCCCAGCCCGGAGTTCAACCCCGGGCTGGGGCAGAAGTGGGTATCCTTATAAAAGTGAATTTCTTTGTGCTTTCTATATATATATATATATATATATATATATATATATATATATATATATATATATATATATATATACATGTATATATATTTACATGTACAACTATTCATCCAGAGGCTGAAACTTTTTTCACATTTTAATTGAATTTTTTTTTAGAACCCCCCCCCCCCAAAAAAAAATACAAGCTGTATAACATTTCAGACAAATTGAACTTTGCATAACATTTTTAATGTCCTTCAGAAGATTTTTCTCTGTTGGGATTCAAAATGGCTGCATTTTGGAAAATCTAATTATCATAAATATAATTATTTGTACAATCTATATATTAAATAAAATTAAGCTTTTCAAAAATTCTTTTAGCAAAATTTAAATTTTTATATGTTTCTGAACACAATTAACTTATTCAGTTAGGATTCTGAATGACATGATCATCCCAGAGAAGCTCACTGAGTGGGTCTCATACACAGTTGATGAAAGCTCAGTTGAAATGCATATTGATGGGTAGTTTCTGTAGTTGTTCAGTTTTTTGAAAGTTTTTATGTTCAGTCTAAATCACAAAATACTGAATACTGCAAAATATTCCAATTCATTTATAGTTTTAAATTGTATTGCAATAAAATGGAATAGATCCCCACTCCCCAAATTTGAATGGAATTCAAGTGGCAAAATTTTGACCTGCAAAAATTACTCATTTTACAGTACATTACTAACAAACTGGGCAACCGTGCATGTAATTAACTTTTAGCCATGAGAATTTTTTATGATTTGCTACAGAAATGCTGCAAAAGGGGGGGGGGGAATTTTTAGTTTAGCTTGCAGAAATGAATAGTTAACTTTTTTTTTTAAATATCAAGACATTGTATACAAAAGATAGTCAGGTAGTGAATAGCTACAATTAAACAGACAATGCAAGGATTTAAGGAGGGGGATCTAGGAATTTGGGAGATGTGGGTTGCCTACAGAGAGAGAAAACCTCTTAAATTGCACAACTGTTTCTTTTATCGCTGTTCTTATTGATTTAGTCTATGCTACATTTACTTGTATTTAACTAGAGTTATATGTTAACACACAAAGAATGGAGCTATGATAGAGAAAGTGCTAGTGTACTAATCCAAGGAAAAATAGTGGTGTATCAATTTTACTTCGCTGCATAAATGCCTTTCCCAATCATAAGTTCAAAACTGCTACATGTATTGATAAGAAAATTTCAGTTTTTTTTTTTTCATGGTGGAGGAACAATTTTTGGTCTGTCCATGTGATATAATATCTAGTTAAAAGTTTTAATTGCTCTCTTAATTACACTGACTTAGACTATCAGTTGAAAAAGTTAATTTGTTTCAGATTTTAGGCTTGACCATTTCATGTTACTTATTGTGCCTAGACCAATGACTAATTCATGTTAGCTTAAATGCCTCAAGGCAAGAAACTCCAACACTTCTTTCAGTCCTCTGCTATTGAAACAATTCTTTTTTTAAAGACTTTTTTCTAGGACAGCTGCAATTAGAAAACATATTTTGTTGCAATTCCATGTAGACCTTGCTGATTAAAACAATAAATAATTTATTTAATGCATAGGCATACAATTGTATGTGTTTGTATTTGGAGGATTATGTTTTATCAGATAATGCTTTAAATGTCACTTTTATTACCTGTGTATGCTGCATTTTTTTCACGAAACATATACCTGTAACCATTATGAGAGTAGATTGCTGAGATGCCTTATTGTTATTGGAATGTTTCATAAACTGCCTTTCCTATGGTTTTTTTTTTAATCACAGAGAAGATGTATTGAACAAATAAACTGGATTGCAATTGATAAATTATAAGTACTGGTTATAAAAAAAGTGCAACATACCTTAAGTTTACCTGGAATTTGTCCTAACACTGTGAGTATTGTGCAATTAAATTGTAGAGCCTGCCAGCGAATAAGCTTAGTGTCTCTTTCTCTAAGCGTTCGGGAAAACTGACTCTGTCACAGGTGGAGTTAGCTGAGGATTTTTAGGTATACTTCTGCATTGTGTTGTCATAATTTGGACTAATTGTGGGTAGGCAAATCACAGCACCTTGTATAATGCCACGTGTGCTTTGTTAATGTAGCTTTAGATGTTTTCTACACAAACTAATTGTTTCATATACTTAAAGCTCTTAGGATTTCTTGATATTGATTTCTAGAGTTAAAATACATCCTTATTCTTTCATCCCATGCCTAATTTTTCAAACAAGTATACAAATTCCACCCTTTTACATCCAAAGTCATTAATTTTATTATATACTTACTGACTTTTAGGATTGGGTTTCTGAATTTGATGACATTGATTCTTTATTTGACCTTAACCTCACCTTTTGATCTTTATTTAATTATATTTCAGTAGATGTAAAATATCCAGAATGCATTTATGCATGAACGATATATATTCATTCTACCCAATTTTAACAATATTAAAAAGTTGATGGTTATGACCTTTTTTTTTGACGAAGTCATATTGTACATATGTTCAATTTCTGTAACAGAAAGAAACCTGCATATTGATTTGATTGATAGGAACCAATACTTGAAACAGAGAAAAAAAATTGCCGCAGCAATCTTACACTTTTTTGGGTGTGATGCAGCCATTTCTTTAGTATAAGGCATCTTTTGGAGTGATTTATGGACATTTTTTAAAAGTAAATAACAGTTATTTTGTGCAGGTTTTTACAAACACAAAATGATATATGGTATGTTGAAACAATAATGACTGTGCAATCGTGATTTGAAAGGAATGAAACCATAGAATAACACACATCTCATATTACAGCATCCATTGTATCTCTGTAGATTGTTTTATTTTACTAGGAGATTTGACATTTTTGTCTGTAGACTGTAATTTTTTTGTACCTACATTTTCTATTATTTAAGTTGTGTGCTTTTTTGACACGCCATGTTTTATCAAAATTAAATTACATCAGAATATTTCTTTTTACACGGCTTGCATATACAGACAGCTATGATAGGTAAGTCTTGGCATCACGTTTATGTAAATTGTTGCATGTCTTTGTTTTAGAAGACTTAAGGACTGCTAAAACAATGACATTAATTTGTTTTTTTTTCTTTATTTTAAGTTGTGAGAAATATATAAAAGTTTTTAAAAAATACAAACAAATTTGGAAGAAGTTTGAAAGTGTTGAAGTGAAAGATTTTTGTCATATATGTGGCGGTTTAGACATTTATTATAGAATGAATAGTATGTTTTTGCTATGTAAAAAGAGAAAAACCAATGGCATTGCATGTTGATGACATAGAATTAAAAGTAACATTATTAATTAGGTGTTCAAAAGAAATCTTAAAATTAATTGAATTAGAATTAAAAGCATTAGATTTAAGGGTTAAAGCAGTTTACTAGTAATTTATTACTAAGGTTTTATTTCAACGTAGAAAAATATTGTGAAAGTAAGATTATAAGTATTTAAGTAGATGTTAACCAATATGTTACTAATCATTAAAAAAAAAAAACAAAAAACAGCGCACTGCATTCTTTATGTAATGAAGCCTGGTCTGATGGTATAATTGCTCATCTCACTAATGATACAGTATTGCAGCATTTTGCATGAAAAAGGTGGCAGCATAAATTGTAGCCTCTTAACATTCAATTAATCACAGAGTGTGAACATTATATTTTTAGCTCAACTGAGCCAAAGGCTCAAGTGAGCTTTTCTAATCAAAGGGTGTCCGGCATTTGTCTGTGTATTGTCTGTCATGTGTTGTCTGTAAACGTTTCACATTTTAGACTTCTCAAGAAATACTTGGCCAATTTCAACAAAACTTTCCACAAAGAATCCTTGGCTTGGGTGAACATGGTTTAAGTTTATTCAAATGAAGGACCACACCCTCTTTTCAAGGGGAGATTAAGAATAATTGAAAATTAAATGGTATCTTTTGAAAATCTTCTCAAGAACAACATGGTCAGATAAGATGAAACTTCTGTGAAAACTTCATTTCATAGTGTAGATTTAAGTTTGTTCAAATCATGACCCCTGGGGGTAGGTTGGGGCCACAATGGGCAGTCAAAGTTTTACATACATGTAGGAATACATATGTATTACTATAACATAGGAATACATATGATAAATCTTTACAAATCTACTACTCAAGAACAGAAAAGGCATAATTATAGTCATTTTTATATGGAAGCATTCATAAGGTAGTTTAGATTCAAATTTGTTCAAGTCACAACCCCTGGGGATAGGGTGGGACCACAAATGGTGATCAAACTTTTACTTTGGAATTTATAGGAAAAATCTTTAAAAATCTTCTTAAGAACAGCAAAGCCATGAGAAGTCATATTAATATGGAAGCATCCTCAGGTAGTGTAGATTCAAGTTTGTTCATTGACAAGTCATGATCCCCTGGGATAGGGTCACACCACAATATGTAATCAAATTTTTACATAGAAATATATAGGGGAAAAGATCAGCTGATGAAGAATAGTAGCCTGTGACTGAGGTGAGTGTTGTGGCCTACAGGCCTCTTGTTTTGATTTTCACCACAAGTAAGTTAAAGTTAACAGTTATTATACCTCTGTGAGGAAAAAATATACAATTATTATACTGTATTTCTGGGTAAATTCTTGTCCATTTTTTTTTTTTGCTGTTTATGTTGTAGGGAGGATTTCAAACCTGAAAATAATTTAAAAAAAAAATCATTTGCTAATCAAAAAATGTTCAAATCTGTATAAATGATACCTCTTGTGTGATATGTAAGTGTGTGAGATATAATTTCTTACTTTTCTTTTTATTTAAGGTCCACTCTGAGTCTTCGGTACCTTTACAACCCCTTTCCTCTCACTGCACACAGAAGTTCATCACAGACCATGTAGCTGACAATGGGTCACCTGTTATAAAAGCTCGCTCAATTACAAAGACACGTCTATGATTCGTAAATTACTGTGCATTTCATACATTATACTGTAAAGTGGTGCTGAATTGAAGACAATTACACAATGTGTGTCAATCTCTATTTTCATGAAAGTACTTATATTTATTTTGTAAAATCAATGTTATACACTGTCAAAGTGCCATTAATGATTTTTTTTCCCCATATACCAAATGTAAGCATGTCTCTTCAGGGCTATTTTTGTACTGGTGTTATACAATTATACATTCAAAAAACACATTTTCTACACACAATGTATATTATTCATATTTGAAATATTGTTTAATTTGAATTTGTGTCATCTTTTATGTTATGATTAGCTTTAGATGCAATCTGTCCTAGGGATATTTGAAGCTATATATGGCGTATCTGAGCTAAAAAATAAAAACACGAGATTGAGTGTAGATAAACATGATATATGTTTTTTACGTTCAAATTAAATTTCACCGATTTTGAAGTTGAATAACCTCATGTTTTCACAGTCAAATTGACTTTAAACTGTGTCTATTATTTAATTGCGGAGTCGGTAAACAAATTGGTTATTGTTTTAAATTTCTAATATCTTTGAAATGTGATTGATTTAGATTGTTTAATTTACAGGAAAGTCCTATCTTTATATAAAGTAATAAAACAAATAGAAAAATTTTTAAAATTTTAATTAGTCTGAACTTATAAAAAATATGTCACATATGACTTTAAATTAACTTTTTAAAGTGGTCAGTGGTATGTGGCAGAAAAAAAAAATTAACAACACCTTGAAAAACTTGAGCTTAAAGAACTGCTATATTATTTCTCATAAATATTAAGTTTTTTTTTTTAAGTCAATTAAAAATGTAGCGCATTGACAAGACAGATTTTGGGACTGTTTGAGAAACACAGCTTTTAGGAATGATTTGACTTTTTACAATCAAACAAAGCATGAGGTTTGGTTGTTCTCTCAGCAAAAATCTCAGCATTATTCTATTGTAACATTGAACTCTATTTCTGAAGTATTAATTACTAAATTTATGATAAAGTGTACTTGACTGCATGTGTTGAATATTTTATTAGAGTGTCTTAATGTTTAAATATTTGATTGTGTTTTCTTTATTACAAATTTTGTTTTCTTTATTCATGAAAACCAGGACATGGATATATTTTAATGTGATGAGTGTATATCATGTTGTGTTAATGAATTCTTTGCTGTAAGATTTTGAAATCTTATATTTAATCATATCTTATCAAATCTTAATTGTGGTCTGTGATATATCTAAATAATTGTGATCTATTAAAAGCGTTACATGTACTTAGGATATAACATGTACAATTTAAAAGTTGTAAAGATTGAATAATTTTTTAGTTTTTCAAAAAACGAGAACTTTTCCCCTTTAATTGTTAAAATAAGCTAATTTTCAATTTTTGAAGAATTGTTGCCTAAAATAGGTCATGCTTTAGACATCTTAAAGCAGTATTTTTGCCTAAACATAAGTCATTGTAAATTTTTTTTACATGCCTTTGTATGCAGCTATGTGTGCAATCAAGTCCCATTGTTGTTTATAAAGATTCTAAGAGACATGTAACTCATATCATGTGTAAATACTTTATCATTATTGCTATAAATGCACAAAAAAGTTGCATCATTATCAGTTAAAGAGTGAAATCAGTGTTAAATTCAATCAGAAGTCTTTTGAAATGTGTATTTGAATTGTACACTTTCTAGATAAAATCAGTACACAGAATTATGGAAATTAATTTCTTTCTTTCTTGAATGAATTTGATGGATGCTTTTTGATTGTGTCTTTGCAAGGTCTATTTAACTATATTGATGGATTTATTTTGTTTGTAATTTTTACTTCAAGAAATGTGGAAATTAAAATGTACATTTGTATTACAGGACTAATATTAAGTTTGTAGCTGACACTTACCAAATTTAATTTATGGTAATTATCTATATAATTTTAGATGAATGTTTAAAACCTTTGAGAATAGGGAAAGATTATTTTGCATTCTTTTAATTAATGATTTGAGAATAATTACAATGTATAAACTAATTAACATTTATAAAATAATACAATTAATATACATGTACATGTATAAAGGTGTATTCCGTGGTATTTTTGTTGTCGACACAGATTGTTTTTTAAGGAGTAGATATAAACTAATCAGTTGCATTAGGTATTTGATTTTATTCATACATTCAAATTATTTTCCCTTATTTTCCATATGCTTTGTGAATGACTCTGTTATCTTCATGGCCATGCAGCCTTTTTTCATGTTTTTGTACTTCCAAAGACTGAAAGTGCTATAAAAACTTGTATACAAGTGAATCTTATGCAGTTTTATTTCATTCAAGATTACAAAATATCTTTGTCTTATCACTCAAGATGTTTATCTTTAAATGTCTTCAAAATTTATATTTTTGAAATGTACTATAAATAAAACAAAATCATTGTACTTGAAGTTCATATTTTTTGTGCTGGTCCATGCAGAATCAAAAGAGCTTATGATTTGATGATGGTTAGGTTGCTCACGCATTTCATTATCTCTCTTGTCTAACTACCAGGGTAGTAGAGTACATGCTTTTCAGGAACATTTTAGGGGGATTTTTAAAATAAAATTTAGATGCTGGTGTAGACCGTTTTTCCTCAAAATGTTCAAAACCAAGTCGTAAAACTTCACACTTTGATAAAAAATTGATTGTAGGATAACTAGAATGGATTCAAGATAGCCTATACCTCTATTGGGAGAAGGGGGGGTGGGGGGTCACTGAACAGTTTTGAGGGTAGGGAAGTGCCACTGAGATATTATATCCAACCCTTTTATATATTTCAAATTAACCTATTCAAATATTATGAAAGTTGTATACTGAGTTTGTTAATGTAGCAATATGAGTACATGGTACATGTACTAGTATTTAAAATCTGTATTGAAAGTGTATTGACAGATAGTGTTAATTAAACTAGTCACCTGTGCCAACAAGATTCTCTCTCTGTCTGTCTGTGCCTGTCTGTCTGTCTGTCTCTCTCTCTCTCGGAACAGGTTTTTATACTATATATATGCTTTTAAAATTTTAGGGTAACTAGTTCTTGGTTAACAGTAAGTAATGATAATGGGTCACATGTTCAACAGAGATTCGCCTTATTTTTATAATCAAACTGTAGCAAGACTTTTCTCCCTAAAAGTAGGCTGGGGGAGGGGGCCCTCCACTTGCACTTGTACTACCGGCCTGTATGAAAGGCGTTATATCCAAAAATGGAAAGGCGTTATTTTATGTTAATAAATATACGAACGATTGAATCAAAGCCATCTTTATTTATGTAATATATAGAGGATATTCAATGTTTTGTAGATGAATATGGAATTTATTTCACGAGTGGGACAGGATTTTTTTATATTTTCACGAGTGCGAAGCACGAGTGAAAATATCATAAAATCCTGTCACACGAGTGAAATTAATTCCATGTTCATCTACAAAACATTGAATTTTCTGTTTATTACATTTTTTTTGATTTTCCCTTTGCCTCTGTCTTTTCTTAACACAGTGTCATAAGCTTGACGTCATAGTTGAGCGGTTGAGACGTCATAGGTTAGCAGTTGTGAGATTGAAAACATTGCATAGCATAGATTTTAGCAACATATTTGGAGAGAAATTTGCAGTTTTATCTCTATCAAGATGGTTAGTTACTATCTATCTTTATGACAGACCAGAAATTATTTTTTTTTTCCTACTTTGATATCCTTTCACACTGCGAGAGAATATCATTTTGGTATTCTTTCACACTGTGAGAGAATATCACTTTTATTCAATAAATAAATCACAGTATTTCACTGTTGAAAATGTAATAATAAAAAGTATTTTCTATATTCCTGCATATCTCGCAGACAACTGTTTGCATGCGTATTATATTACGAGAAGTCAAAAAAATCCAGGATATAGGCAGAAGCAGTTTTTGTCAAATTTGAAAATATTTTTCTCTCCTCTTGGAAAAAAGCAGGAAACTATTTGCATGGGTATAATGAGCAATTAGCCTTCAACCAAATTTGTGAAATTCATGACTCTTGGTAGAGAAGGACCAAGTTGGTTTAACATTTAAAATATATTACTCATTTAAATATCTTTTTTCCTGGAAATCTAATTACAATCTGTTTAAATTATTTTTTGAGAAATTAGCCCTATATTTAATATTCATGTCCCGAGGATAAGATTTCAGCCCCCGGGGTGGGCTAAGTTAGTCATGTACTGAAAATAAAAGGCGTAATTTAGGAATGACTCTAATTCTTGGCCAAATTATTCGAGTATAACCTGGTTTGGGTCAGTTTACGCTTTATAATCCGCGAAGCGGATTATAAAACAGCGTAAACTGACCCAAACCAGGTTATACTCGAATAATTTGGCCAAGAATTAGAGTCATTCCTTATAATTTAATTTTAAAATCATTAAATAACTATGGGTGTAAAATTTCGTTACTTTTTATTAGTTCAAATTTGCCGCTCAATAATACAACCATAGTAACGGAAGTAACGGAAGTGATGGGAATCGAGGGGAGGTAAAAACTGATACATAGGCATAGCAGCCATGTTGTTTGGTTACATGTGGTAAGATCGAATTATTGTTTGAAATTAAGGGTACATTTATTAAATCTGGAATCCCGAGGACTGGAAATGAGAGGATTGTATGGATACAGATAATTCAGCTGGTTGTCAGGGGGGGGGTGTGTCCCCATACCAAACCAGGTTATACAGAAATAATTTGTGTTCCTTTTTGGATATTAACCAATCAGAGGCTAGTATACAAACAAAATTAAATTATTAAGTAATAACGCCTTTTGGAAAGGCGTAATAACGCTCTTTTTCGCCTTTTTTTCGCGTTATTATGCCTTTTCAAAAGGCATTATAACGCCTTTTTTCGCCTTTTCGAAAGGCGTTATAAAGCCTTTTAAAAATTTTTTTCTCCATAGATTGATTTTTATAGGCTTTCGTAGATAATTGTATATTGCTACACACAAAAGGGAAGTTGACGATAGAAATGGAAGTTATTACGCTTATCATAAAGTTTAATGTCAATTTTCCATCAATGTCTTTCTCTATTAAAATATCCAAATAAGAAGCAGATGTGTCAGATTCCGTGGTACTTTATTTCGAGTTCAATGGGGTATATCGAATCCACAGGTGCTTTAGGACAGGACCCCCCCCCCCCCTCCGATATAGACCCCCGGACCGTTTCGACTTTCAATGTTACACGTATTTGTGATAATTTCCTACCATCAATTCAAAAATTCACCGAAAATATAAAAATTACTACCCACTCAACACAAATTGTAGATTTACGTATAGAGTGGCTAGAATTTTTTTTTTTGAAAATATTTGTTTAAGGTTAATTTTCGAGTTGATGGTATGGATTTTATCGCAATTATGACATTGAAAGATAATATATGAGAAAAAAGTCCGTTACTCTTTATTTCGAGTTCAATTTGATATATCGAATCCACGTATGAATGAAAATGAATATCATTAATTGATAGAATGTCGTCCATACATGCATATCATAATCTAAATGTCGAATTGAAGGCCACAGTAAGAAACTTCTTTTCATGTAGAAGTTTTTAAATAAATTCCGCTTTACAAGAATTTTCAAATGAGGGTCTCTCATGGTATGCATGCGCGAAGAATGTTGGCAGCTTTGAAAAATAAAAGAAAAAAAATGAATATCTTGCAATTATTAAATATATTTTTTCATATGAATTTGACTGGAATTAATGTTAAAATGTGTAATAATGAATGCGGAAAAACACACACTGAGAAATACCAAGGTAAAGGAAAAATAAATCGGTGAACACTCTCAAGACAACCGTCGTTTTCTGTCCAGTCAAAGGTTTTTTGTTAATTTACAATTTTTTATCAATCTATAATTAAAATCAATATATTATATAAACAATATTCACAAAATATTTATATGTAAGTAATTTACAATTAGAATTACATTGTGACCACACAATTAATGATGGAAACATTTGTTATTCCACTTATGTCAATTACTCCCTGTCCTTTCACTTCTACTGAAAGGACCACGCAAAAAATTGAAAGCTCATTACAATTATCATATACTAGATAGGAAGACGAGTTTCCAAATTCAATTTATTCGATACAATATATATTTTTATGGTCACAGCATTGAATGTTTGAACGACCACATAATATTGCAAACACATCCAAAAAATGATAAATGTACATGTACAGTGTATGATGATATATAACTAATTAATAATAAAGAAAGTACTATATATAAAGGGCAGATACATATAGCAATTAGAAAGAAGACTTCATATCCACTTGAGGAGGGAAATACAGTGTCTTCATTAGGGTGAATTCAGTTCCTCATAGGGGGGTGGGAGGTTCCATACCCACTAAACAACAAGAAAGAAAGAATCCTATTCAGAAATTATATAAAAAACAAAACAAAACACTTTAAACGCTAAAAAAAACCCAGTTTCGTTGGGAGGAGGTTGAACATTTTTCAAGAGCCTGGGGAAGGGGGGGGGGGGCAGTTGAATGCTCTCTCATGATCAGACAGTTTTCCTTCATAAAGATGTGTACATGACTCTGCATGCTGACCAACTTACGAGGGGTCCAAGATTCCTAACTGTGGTCCAAGGTCCAAAACCCCCTTATCTTCTATTTGAGTTGCGAAAATATTTTTTGCTTTAAAATAAGACACATTTTACAAAGAACGAATTTTGCAGTGTTATCTGATGAAACTTTCATAGTTATGTGTCTCAGCACTTGACATTTGTCAGGTTGCTCTCACATAGAATTTATAACTTCGTTGTTTTCCTTATCTAAACTCTTTGCTTCGAAAATCTGTTTCCTTTTCTTCCCTTTTTTGGGGAGGGTCGTTTTGTGTCATTTTTTTTGGCATATCAAAAAAAAAAAAAAAAAAAAAAAAAAAAAGAATAATAGTGAAAGTTCATGTATATTGAAAAAGAATGACTTGAAGTTGAACAGATTTAATATTTGATAAAGACGAAAAAGCTTTTGACTTGAATTCTGGAGGGAAAAAATGTTAATATAAAACGCAAGGTAAGCATTAAAAATACATTTTTTTGTTAAAAGTACATTTCTATGTACACTGGGGGGCTTTTCCCACACCTGCCTAACAGTTCAGGTTTATAAGATGCCATAAAAATCAGTCAAGCATACCAGTGTTTATTTATTGGTGTTATTCAAAATGGCATCCAGAGAAAAACAGGTAAGTAGAATCAGACACTTGATTGTCTTGAATAATGAAGCTCTGTTATTTATGTCTCTACAAGACTCGTCTTGCAGAGAACTCAAATTGACAATCTTTATCTCAAAGATTCCATTTCAGTAGTACGTATGCCAATATTTTAGTACTGGATAAGTCGGGAGTTGTGAGACCCCATCACCTGATCCGTGAACTGATTAGAGAGTCACGGATCTTATTTTCTTCTAAAATCTCAATTTTTAAAATGATTTTTGAATAAATACATTCAACGAAGCTTAAGTTTAACAGAAAAAATTGTAGTTATATATTGTTTTCCAGTGGATGCATGAATAAGAAGTTAGCGGACGACCATTTGATTCTGAGGGGTGGGATGGGGGCGGACTGGCAAAATATTTCCAGTCAGAATATTTATTTTATGCTAGTAAAAGACAGATTATTTATTTTCAAGATGATCAAGGACAGATTATTTATAAAAAGAAAAAGTTTGACAAGGGAAAAAAGGGGAAAAACGCCAAAACTCTATTTCGTGGGGGAAGGGGGGGGGGTGGTACATGTACTACTGAAGGACAATTAATTTATTTCAACATTTTTGAGGAAAGATTATTTCCAATATCTGCCAGCCCCTCCCCTCAGAATCAAATGATCGCCGTCCCCTTAACTGGCAAAAACGCCATGTGTCAAAATAAAATATATTTTCATAAATAGGTCTCGTACACTTTATGCCTCTTATTGTGACCCCAACTTGTCACTTGGTTACATATATTTATGTTTGTTTCTACTTGACTTCAGGATATCGATTAATTTTGATGAATTGTAGATTTTGCAAAAAAAAAAAAAAAAAAAAAAAAAAAAAAATACTTTGGTACATTTATTTATAAAAGAAATCATTTACATATATATAATTTATGTATTTCAATATTTGAATGAAATGCTAGGTCATTTCATTTTTATGTAGCACAATTATCTATATATCTAGATGAGTAAAACATAATCAAGATGCTTTAAATATTTAAAGTGATAGTTAGTCTGTCAATTCGTTCGACGAGGGTTATCTTTTTTTCTTAGCTTCAATATTTTTTCATTTATAAGATGAACGTCCACTATTCTTCCAATTTTCTCTTAACTCAAAATCTGATCGTAGACGTTTTAAAAATGTATATGGTCATGAGGCCGTCCTTAAAAAAATGTTTTTTTTTAACCTCCATGAAACGATATTTTTTTCTTTTTTCTTTTTATTCCTGAATTTTCTCATCCCGTCAAAATATATGTTGAAATTTTCTAGGGAAAAAAAAAAACAACAAATTTTCCACCTACTGCATGACGTAATTTTTTTTACCCTGAGTCGGGAGAGGACAAACAAACATTATTTTAAAGATGACCTGAATTGAGCATATTGGAATCTTGAGGTATATTATAAGGATGTTTGTGTCGTACTTGAGATTCCAAGTAAACCATTTTTCTTGTTTGGATGAACAACTTATCTTTCTCCAACCCCGTTTTAATAAGGTTTTACACAATTTCACACTTCTTTTGTCCATTCTCCATCTTCATCACCCTTCACACCTCTTCTCCCTTTCCGCTTCCGAGTATCCTATCTACGGCCGAACATTCAATCCCTTTCCTGTTTGTCTTCCTATCCCTTGAATGAATTTAGAACCCCCTTCTATTTTGTTCATATCTCAAAATAGTCTTTGCAACTCTTATGGTCGGCATGTGCACAAATTCTGAATCTACAAAGAGGTTATGGAAAGAATTTATAGACATATACTTTTCTACGGTAACTTTTTTAAGCACAAAAAAAATTTCTGACCCTCTTCACGTATTTGGGATTGTTTTTGTATGAAATCGGTCTAGTGAAGCCCTACTATTTTTCATCAAATTAAAAAAAAAAATAAAATTCTTAGATATTTCCTTTAAAAAATTTTTATCCCCTATTGTGACCAACCCTCCCCCTGGGGGCCAATATTTGAACAAACTTGAACTACCCAAAATTCTTGTTATATCACAATTCATGACCATGAAAAAGACTTAAATATTTTTAAACTATATATTCCCTATTCCGGACCAACCCTACCACCGGGCACCATGATTTCGGTACACTGAATCTGCACTCCCAGAGGATGCTTACAAATTATTAATATTACTAATCATGGTTCTGCTGTTCTTGAGAAGACCATTTTGTCCTGTAAATTTCCAAGTGAAACTTCTATCCCCTTAATTGTGGTCCCATCACATCCCCGGGAGCCAGGGTTTGAAGAAAAAAAACTTGAATCTCCTCAGAATCATGGATTTAAAATGTTGAAAAAATATATTCCCATTTAAAACTTTTACCCCCAATTGTGGTCCAAACCTTACCCCTGGGGCCAGGATTTGAACAAAAATGAATCTGCACTACCTGGGGATGATTGCATATTAGTGTTCTTTACTGACGATTGTCGTGAAGGTCTTAAGGGGGGATTCTTGTCTGGTTTCTGACTAGATGAAATATTCAAAGTATATAAGCTTATACAGGGGCTGACAAATAGATTTTTTAAGTACTTTCTCATGGGCGAGTACATGGTCAAAATTCACTTGCCCTACCTGAATTTTTACTTGCCCCACCATAAACCATGAAAATAGGAAGACAAAAAATGATTATTATAAGTGCTCATTTCCACTTAAAACGAAGACTTGTTATTTTTTTTTCATGAAAAAGTCACTTGCCCTCGGGAAAGTGGTTGATAAAAATTCACTTGCCCATCCCCAAAATTCACTAGTCCCGCGCGTCGGTCAATGGGATTTGTCAGCCCCTGATTATATGTCTTATATATTTAGATGTAAGGGAATTTAAATTATCATATTTTTCTTCCCTCATCATAATTGTAGAACTTTAAATATAAATGGTAAACCGAGTTTGAAATCTAGCAAGGACTATATTTTTGGCTGAACGGCGGCGTATGAAAATATCTCCTTTTTGCTTTTCAAAATTACTACAGAACCATGATTTTTGTTTCAATTTTTAAACAATCAAAGACTTTTATAAGAAAATTTCAAATGTAAGTAAAATTAATAATAATTGACTGAAGTTTTGAAATATATCAAATAAATATGATTTTCCAAACAAACTACAATTTTGTTAGCTTTTAAAAGCTTCCAATCTAAATACAGATTTGAGCAAAAAATCTATAAAAAGTGTGTTTTTTTCTCTCTTAGTAAACGGTCAAAACTTTTTGTTTTTGTATCAATTTGTATCTTTATATGACTACTTTACCATATGTGAAAATAAGAAAAATTTAAATATACGAAGCAAATAAAAATAACTAATATATCCTAAAAATCTAGGAAAAACAGAGGAAATTCGGATTAGCAAATATCTATTTTAGTTAAATTATTTATGTCAATTAGGTACTATCATCTAATAGACCCTATATGGTAATACCTTTTTATGCAAAAAGAAAAACCTTTAATCTTTTGAAATAGAAGTAGGCATGGCATGATTGGTAACAGTATTTTTTTATTCTTAAAGTCAAGGAAAAAGATAATGACATTGAGCTGACCTTGCTTTTAAAATAAAACGGTCAAATTTAATCTAATTGATACTATCACTTAATGATAATGTCTTCTTGAATCTATGAAAATTTCATTAATTTTTAAATACAAGAAATATGAGAAGAATCATTCCTTAAGTATGTTAGACTTTAATCCCCTATTGTGTCCCGATCTTACCCCTGGGGGTTATATGTAAAAAAAGCAATTTTTTAGTGAAGTACATGTATATAAAGAAATTGAATTGAACAGAATTTAATATTTATAGACAAAATAAAGGTTTTGAATTGAATTCTGGAGGGAAAATTGTTAATATAAAACGTAAGGTAGCATTAAAATACTTTTTTTGGTTAAAAGTACATTTTTATGTACACCTGCTTTATAGTTCATATGCCATAAAAATCAGTCAAGCATACCAGTGTTTATTTATTGGTGTTATTCAAAATGGCATCCAGAGATAAAAAGGTAAGTAGAATCAGAGACTTGAATAATGCAGCTCTGTTATTTATGTCTCTACTTGACGAAATGTAAACTATCATATGCATAACTACTCAACCATTCTTAATCCACGAAATCTAATCGCCAGAGACCCATAGTTTTTCCACAAACCACGAAAATTTGACCTCATGAAAATATGTGAATTTACAGTAAACCGTTTTTCTTGTTTGGATGAACATTTTTTCTTTCTCCAACCCCTTTTACGCAATCGAACACTTCTTCATCACCCTTCAATCCTCTTCTCCCTTTCCGCTCTCAATTGTCCTATCTGTGGCCCAACATTAAATCTCTGTCCCGTTTGGCTTCGTATCCTTTGAATTAATTTAGATTTAACTGTATACATTTTCATTTAGTTTTTGCAGTTCCTGTTCTAGGGGCTTCTGGAAAGATGTAAAGAACTTCTTTCTATTTTGTTCATTTCTCAGAAAGATTTTTGACTGTTTTCTTATTTTGTAGGTTCCAGAAGTGGTAGTAGAGGACGAATTTGAGAGCCCGGATAAACCTCTGACGAAATCTGAACGTGTTCTCTTTGGAATTCTTGTGTTCTTTATGTACAGTATTTTCATCGTGGCAGTGAGCCTTACAGCACATTACAACCAATAAGCAACGTCATTGTTTCTGGACGAAAAAACCCCCAAAATTACTGATTATGGTGGAGGCTATTTTGATGCTAAATGGAAGAAATGGGAAATAATTATAAATAATTATCCGACAATATTAACATTCAGAATAGAACTTGAACAACTATAACATTTTTGTACATAGGCACAATTTTTATTCATTTGTGAAATAAAACTTATTTATACAGATATAGGTGTTTGTTGTGTTGAGTACATGAAATAACAAATTCTTTTAACAGAACCCTGTTTGTCTAGTAGAATGATAGAACATTTTGAATCACATCACATAAAATTGCATACGGATTTAACAGTGATGAATCCTTAGCAAAAATTACTATTTTAATAGTTAACTATAGTAAAAAATTTGATACTTTGATTTACTAAATTTTCTTAAAATTTAAATTGTCTTAAATTGGATAACAGTGATGTAAAATTTGTAAATAATGTGTGAAGATACAAATAATAATTCTATTTAATAAAAATATGTGCATGTATGAATTGAAGAACAAAAAATATAACACTCTAAAATCCATAGTAAAAATAATTTGATTAACTATAGTAAAAAAAAAAAACTTTTTAAAACTATATTAAATATAGTAAACTATAGTTAACTATAGTATTTTTATTGTTGGGGATGTACGGAAATGTTATAACCCTGAAGATGAAATTTATGTTCAGATGGAAGAACAAGGAACTCGTCCATTACAATGATCAGCGTCGACAACAACGGAAGTCTAAGGGAAGAGAATGTTTTGTCCCCCGCTTTCGCAAAAGCAAGGGGACATTTAATCTATTTTTGACCCCGTGACCTTGAAGTTTGACCTACTTTTAAAAAAAATTAACATTACATGAATTACTCATAACTTTGGAATGAGAAAAGATAGGGCTTTTGTATTTTACATGTATATTACCTGTGATAAGAGTTTTCTAAATATACTAAAATTTTAGCCCGTGACCTTAAAGTTGACCAACTTTTCAAAAAAATTATCTTTGCTGATAATTAAAAAAAAATATCTTTGCTTATAATTTTTGATTGAGAAGGGATAGGGCTTTCATATTTGGTATTCATATGTGCATTACCTGTGACAACACCTTTCCAAATATACTATAATTTTTTACTCTTTGATATTGAAGTTTGGCCTACGTTTCAAAAAATTTAACATTACTTTGAATTGGTCATAAAATTTGAATGAAAAAGATAGGGATTTCAATTTACATACAGTATGTACAGTACGTGCCTCAAGACCTCTCGAAATAAACTATGGTTTCTGGCCCCGTGAGCTTAAAGTTTGACCTACTTTAAAATAAAATTATCTTTGTTTATAACTTTTGATTGAGAAAAGATAGGACTTTCATGTTTCATATTTCATATTGCATCGTTTCCGACCATGCTATCATTTTTTGACCTCTTGACCTAAAAGTTTGACCTACTTTTAAGAATTTTAACTTTGGTAATTACTTTTGAATGACATATATGATGGGGCGTTCATATTTGACAAGTGAATTACCTGTGTCAAAACATTTCCGAATGTGCCATGATATTTGACCCCATGATCTTGACCTTCAAGTTTGACCTAATTTCAAATATTTTACCAGTGCTGCTAACGTTTGAAAGAGCGAAAATAGGATATTCATATTTGACACTTGCATAACTTGTGACAAGCATTTCCAAATGGACTATGATTTTTATCCCAATGACCTTGAAGTTTGACCTTATTTTTAAAAAATATAATATTGCTGAAAACTTTTAATTCAATAATTTATGTTTTTTTCTTATGATGCACAGACGAGACAGGAAACACAAACAAGACAGTTACAAATTGCCATAAATACTGGCATCCTATCCACAAAGACACCGTCAATTCTTTGAATTTGCTTGTTATGCTTTCTGACTCTCAGATCAATTTTACGCCACCACCATAGATAATTATATCTATCGATCACCAGAAATATCTTTATACATTGGAAGCTCAACGATTGTGAAGTGATTATTCTTACACTGTAGCTCTCTAGTTGGTTGAGATGGAACAAAATCATACTCTGTTATGTTAACCTGCAAGATACCTACCAGGTTAACATTGCATTCATTGTTTCTAAAAATAAATCGAGGACTTCCGAACTATACAGATAATTATTACGAAAAGCTATGTTCACCTATGCCCAACCTTCCAAATTAACATAACATTTATTTTTTGTACATTGTACCAAAAATTACGGATGCGTATTAGTGCCGTATAATATTTTTGTTAAAGTTGGTAAAATCCAACTTTAAAGTTGGTAATTCCCCAACTTTAATCTTGGCTTTTCCAACGTGCGCAAAGATGGAAAAGCCAAGACTAAAGTTGGAATTATATTAACTTTAAACTTGGAAAAGCCCGGATTTAAGTTGGAATTTCCACACTTTATGCTAGAAAAGCCAACTATAAAAAATATTACGTGGCACTAATACACTTCCGTAAAAAATAAGACCGAGAATTTCTAATTAAGTTGATAATGCCTGCCTCTCTTTACTGCGTTTGAGCAGTTTATAAAATGTAAACAGTCAATCAAGAAAGATGATATGATTTGCTTATTAAATCACTGAAATCCACTGAAAGTGGGAGATATTAATTTGGGTCTGTCTGTCCGTCCGTCCGTCTGTATTTCTGTCTGTAACACTTTCGTTTCCGCGCGATATCTCGAGAACCCTTTTAGCTTTCGCAATGAAATTTTGCATAGCAGCTTCCTATGGCCTAAAGAAGAACCCTATTTATTTTGAGGTCAAAAAGTCAAAGTTCAAGGTCGTAAATTCATAAATTCCGTCTGTGTGTAAGGCTTGCGTTTCCGGGCGATATCTCAAGAAGCTTTTGAGCTTTTGCAATGAAATTTTATACCATATACATTTATTGTGTAAAATTTTGACAATATCAAACGTGAATATAAACATTATATGTGACTTAATGTTTGCATTTAATTTGTGGTATATTTAAGTGCGTTCGTGGTCTAGTGGTATGTTGCTCGCTTAGCAAGCGAGATGCCCGGGTTCAATCCCCAGACGATTATCTTTTTTTTTTTTTTTTTTTAAATTTTTTTATTGTCTTTGTTTTTTTTTTTTTTTAATTTTCTAAATGATACTATTCAACATGTGGAATGAAAAAGTTATAATGTCTGGCGTGTACAAACTCATAAAATCATTATTACAGTGTGATACATATTCTGTTTAAAGTATATTAAAAAGAATCTTCTATACACATATTAAAGAATAAGCAATCAAATTTTTACATCCATATTGGCTTTTTTTTAAATTTGCTTCAATATACATGTATACATTTAAAAAATTCTACAAATGCAGGGGGGCAGTGAGACCCCCCCCCCCTCCCCCGAACTGCGCAAGCTCTTCTTTTTTCCCTAAGCAGGGGACACAAATTCTCTGAATTAGCTTGTTTCGCTCAATATCAGCCACCTGGGAGTATAATATTCACCTCGCCATTCGGGCTTGGTGAATATTGTACTTATGGCAAGGTAAATATTATACTCCTCAGGTGGCTTTAAAATAAAATAATCGTATTGACCTTTAAACAGCAATATTTGTATATTGTTCCATTTAAATGTTCTTGCAATGTATATTTTAACAGAAAATGTGAAAATTAATTCTTTCTACTGCTCTGTGGCTAAAAGCAAAGTCTTTAAAAATGTATCTTGCATAAAAATCTGCATTTATCTGATCTCCTGATTTTAGAAGACGCTCAGCCACGCATGACAGGATGTACGCTGTACACATTAAAGTTACAAAAGCTTAAAAAACTTCAATGGCGTCACCCATTGTTATTAGTCTACGTATATTTTACCGATTCAACCATCTAAAGAACCAACTGGCCATCAGTTGGATATCCACATATCCAACTGCTTATCGGTTGGATATTTAAATATCCAACTGTGCATACAAACATAATTACCGATAAGCAATGAACAAAAGAGATAAAAGAGTTTCAAATGTACAGTGTATTTCCAATGCACATAAAAAATAATTACTCTGAATTTGTCACACTATTAGAATTAATGTCCATTGCAATGCACACTGAATACTGAGTACGCATTTTTCACACCATTAGATTCGTGTTAAAAATGTACTTCCAATGCTCACAAAAATTACAATTCCTCCAAATTTTGCACAATATTAGACTCTTTTCGTCAATAAAATATCCAATACTTATCCGATGGTATTTTAACATGTTTTCGGTCCTAAATTTTGAAAGCATCACTTTTTGACACGTTTATAAATACATTTTCACCTTGAACCTTAAACCACATCACTTTCTGTTGCTGAATATTATTTCAGGGGTCCGTTATCAGTAAATCTTCTCAGATTTATCGAGGTTCATCTCTGTTCTCATACTTTTCCAGAGTACTTCCCAAAAACAATTTAATAAATTGACAGCCCACCTATTTTTGTCACCTTTTTTAATGTAGATCTTGATATGGACTATTTTTTAAAGCGGGTTCCGCATAACACCGACAATCTTTTCATCTGTTTAAGAGCTACTAGAAGTATTGTCCGAATGGAAATCCATAATCCGAATGGAACTCCATATGCATACATGTATATAAGAATTTATTACTTTTCCTCAACAATAAAATCATCATCTTATATGTAATGATAGATTTCCAACCATTTATCAAGTTTCTGTAGTTTTCTTCTGCTTTCAGGTCAAAAGTGTGTTCAAAACACTATCTGAACCTCTCTTAATTTACTTTGACAGGTCGAAGAAACTATTTTTTTGTGACGTCAGAATAAATTTACATACCAAATGAGGCACCAACGTGACTGACTAATCGACCATTCAACTGAATGAATCGAACTGCATCATGGGTTTTTTTCAAGTACTTTACACACTTAATACAATATGTATATCATTATCTACTAATTCCATGCTCACATTTACAAACAATTGTTTTACAACGGTAAAATTTGGGTATTCTCCACTCCATTGTATAAGTCATTTGTGGACAAAATTTGCCTGTTTTCCTGTGCTGTACCGTATGCTGTCAGTAAATACAATTTTCACGTATATTCCATCGTCCAAAACAATCTACTCTGAGGTGTACTCATGTAATGCAGGCCCGTAGGAAGCAATTTCAGTTGGGGGGGGGGGGCACAGCCAAACATTTTCAGATGGGCGGGTCACTATCAACTACCAAAATTCCTTGAC